GGGCTGGCCCAGTACTTGTATACATTTTGTTTATGGCTCTGGTTCAATGATAATGGTATCAGTGATTACCACTACATTGTTTGTGCTTCACTTTGACTGGGATTGTGCCTTTTAAAGGAACTGTTCTACACTGTTTTTCTAAATCAGCAAGATGTTGTCAAAACGTTCAGGGGACATAGATGCATGTGCAAACAATTATATATTATAAAATAGCTTATTGAAGATTTAAGTGTATCCAGACCCAAGGACAAACATTTTATAGTATTGCAGCAAACCTGTTCTCAGATGTGGTGGCTGCATTTGTTTTTTTTTCACATTTTCCCCTTTATTTTAACCTACTAATCCTGCCATTAAAACACCTCCAACACCTAGAGTGCAGCATGTTCACCCTAGGACAGGGAGTGTGCTGGGACTACAAAACACCTCACTCTTGTCTCCATAACAGGGGGGGGGTTGTAGTCATTGGTTGGACATCTTAAGGAACAACTGCTTACAGTTCAGAAAGCACAGGAAGTTATTAGATTTCTGGCTGTGTGTTTTTGCACTTGTTGAACAGATATAATAAAGGACTTTCAATGGTGTAATTAACAGACCTTTACTAGTTGAAACTATGATTGGAAAATGAGTGTTTACCCCAATGTTTTTCTGTCTGTTCTGTTTCTGGCAGTTGCTGCTGGTCTGTATTTTACAAGAAAAGAATACCTTGAAGATGTATATCCAAACCAACCGGCTGGATCGATTATCTTACAGGTCCATGCAATGAGTGATGTTCCGGGAGAGGTTCCGCACTACAGACTATGTCACAACCTTCTGTATGAGAAATATATGCGCTTCTTCCACATGGATCAGCATAGGGGAATTCTCTATCTGAACCAAACAATGACAAGGAAAGACTTCGCTGAAATCAGTAAGTCTGTGAGCTGATGTTGGCAAAGAGAGTTCACTTATAGTATCTTGTCTCCTCCATGCAGACTACACCAACCAGGTTCAACACACCTACAGTGGATAATGGAGTTACAACTGGGGCCACTGGCTAAGGCCAACATTTTGGGTGGATTGTTGAAAGCTATGCAGATGCAGAAACATTAAACATTTTGCCTTTATCAACATGACAAAAAAGGTGGAGAAGCAATCTGCTTAAAGCTGAATTCCAAGTATGGGTAGAGCCCTGACCTTGCAAGCCTCCCGACACCTCTGACACCCTGGGTTCAGACATATTGAAGAATAATGCAAGAGACACAATTCTTTACTGACACCTCTATATTAGATTTGTTTAAAACAGTAGGCTGCAGGAATAATGGTTTTAGGATATACAACCCCAGTTAAAGGATAAGTTCACCATTTAGAAAAAAATAATAAATGCAAATTTTTTTTGCAGGTAAAAAAAAAGTGCATTTATAATTATTTTCTGCAGGAGCCTGTATTGCATTGTACCAGCGATCAGTAGATCGCTGATGCCATGCAGGTCTCCTGTAGACCTGTCAGAATATCTGCTTGCCATACGGGATGTACCAGCAAGCAGATATTCTGACATGAAGAATGAATGAACTACCGCAGCGCTTCACAGCCGCTAAGGCTGTCGGGACTTGTAGTCTCTCATTCACAGATGACTGTGAATGATTGACGTGGCCATGTGGGCGAAGCCCTGCATGGCTTTGGTTTTTTTACACTTGACAGCTAACGAGGGGAGAGAAGATCCCCTGCTAGCTGTCAAAGCAGGGATCGGGGGGGGATGCGGGGGCTAGTCTGAACGTAACCTGAATATGGGTGTAACATGTTACGAAAGGGGAACGTATCCTTTTAAAGCATAAAAGCAGAACACTGCTAAAATAGAAATAATCAATTAGAGGTGTTTAACAGGTTATACAGTCATGAGTAGTAAGCTTCAACTATTTAATTGCAACACCAGCAGCAAGAGGGGGAAGAAAAGGCTTGTTGACCTATCAGCTCCCTCTGTGCCACCTGTGCCACAACGGGGCATGCAGAGAATTTAAGTAAACATATACTTTGCTATGAATAGATATAAGTACCCCAATTTGAATAGCAATGGCCTTAGAAGAGAAAAGGTCCATTTAACTAGAGATTGCGACTTGAGTCCTGCAATGTTTAAACCTCCTGATATGGTGGTATCTGCTGAATTCTGCTAGCAATGGTGGGGCCCATAAGCATTAGTCAATACTCATAATACAATGAAGTTAAACAGATTTACCGTGGTACTGCTCAAAGCAAAAGTCTCCTGGTAACTGAGGTGTAAAGGTGTCTACATGCAGTGTCTCGCTTACTAATCCCATGGATAGCACGGCCTTCTATGAACAGGGTTCTTGCACAGGCTCTTGGCTGTTTGCAGTGATGTTCAAAGTTACTGCCTGATGGTCTGTCAGCGTGGCGAGCATAGATGTCTGTGTGAAGACTGGACAATGACAGTCCTGATGCAGAGAAGCTGATGCAATTCCGGTGTGGTGATTGGCGTCACCACTGTGTTGAACAGATGTGCAGAGCCCCACAGCAGTAGCCAGCAATTTGTCTCTGGAGGAGAACGGCAGTCCCCCTGTGTTCAGTTCTGAATCCCACACCAAGAGAGAGAGCCAGTCCCTTGCTGTAGAATATATCTGCTCTCTGATAGTTGTAGTTCAATCAGCACTTAGAAATACAGGATGTATTGGCTATAGGACTACAGGTCCCAAGATCCTCTACTGTCAGAAGAACTGGATCCAATCTGCTAACAGGAGGTGATGTACAGTTGTGGCCAAAATTATTCAACCCCCACTGAAATTGAGTGTTTTGGCCAGTTTGACATTGCTTTTGATCATTCAGTCATCTTGCTTACATTTACATTAAAGAGGCACTTGTAGGTCAGACAAATATAACATAACAGTTATAATGAAATAACCACAAATGTCTTTTCTGTGCTCACAGCATTATCAGTTTTATTCAACCCCCAAGTGACATTCAATCTTAGTACTTAGTACAGCATCCTTTTACAGTTATAACAGCTTTTAAACGTGAAGCATAGCTTGACACAAGTGTCTTGCAGCGATCTACGGGTATCTTCGCCCATTCTTCATGGGCAAAGGCCTCCAGTTCAGTCACATTCTTAGGCTTGCGCACTGCAACTGCTTTCTTTAAGTCCCACCAGAGGTTCTCAATCGGATTTAAGTCTGGTGACTGCGATGGCCACTCCAAAATGTTCCAGCCTTTCCTCTGCAACCATGCTCTAGTGGACTTGGAGGTATGCTTGGGATCATTGTCCTGTTGAAAGGTCCAACGTCTCCCAAGCCTCAGGTGTGTGACGGACTGCATCACGTTTCCATCCAATATCTCCTGGTACTGAAGAGAATTCATGGTACCTTGCACACGCTGAAGCTTCCCTGTACCTGCAGAAGCAAAACAGCCCCAAAGCATGATTGACCCTCCACCATGCTTCACAGTAGGCAAGGTGTTCTTTTCATCATAGGCCTTGTTCTTCCTCCTCCAAACATAGCGTTGATCCATGGGCCCAAACAGTTCTAATTTTGTTTCATCAGTCCACAGAACACTATCCCACAACTTTGTGGTTTGTCCACATGGCTTTTGGCATACTGCAGTCGACTCTTCTTATTCTTTGGAGACAGCAAGGGGGTACGCCTGGGAGTTCTGGCACGGAGGCCTTCATTACGCAGTGTGCGTCTTATTGTCTGGGCTGAAACTTCTGTACCCACATCTGACAAATCTTTTTTCTCAGTTCCTCAGCAGTCACACGGGGACTTCTCTCCACTCTACGCTTCAGGTAGCGCACAGCAGTCGAAGTCAGCATCTTCTTTCTGCCACGACCAGGTAGCGTTTCAACAGTGCCCTTTGCCTTGAATTTGCGAATGATGCTTCCTAAGGTGTCTCTTGGTATGTTTAACATCTTTGCAATCTTCTTATAGCCATTGCCCTTCCTGTGAAGAGAAATCACCTCTTCTCTTGTCTTCCTGGACCATTCTCTTGCCTTCACCATGTTTGTAACCACACCAGTAAATGTCTAGAAGGAGCTGAGTATCACAGTCATTTTAAAGCTGCCTAATTGGTGCTTATTATGCTTGATTGCTGCTCGGTGACATCCACAGGTGTTTTCAATACCTGATGGAAAGCACCTGTATGAACCTCTGTTCTTCAGAGTGGTAGTCTTTAAGGGGTTGAATAATTGTGGCAATGAAGAAACCACATAAGAACCATTTACTACTGTATTACATAAACAATTGATGTCATTTTAGTTGCATTTGGGTAGTTACAACGTCCTTGTAGGATTTGATTCTGAATACAATTCCAAATGTACACTATAGTCCCTAAACCCCTTTACAGCATTGGGGGTTGAATAATTTTGGCCACAACTGTACATATGCCAGTACTGGCCACTAGAGGGAAAAAATGATTAACCAGGATTAACTAAAAACCATTAACTATTACATAGTGTAATGCTTGAGAGGATTGACAGAATCTGCAGACCTAATAGAGGAAATGAGGGTCAGAGATTGTGGACATGCTACATTTTTGGTTGTGGATATCCCACAGAAGACTATATGAAACTAGTAACATGTTACAGGAGGTTGGTAGAGATCAATGCTGTTACCCTAATCAATGTTCTCAGTAGACTGTTGTGATCCGAAGACCGCACATCATATATCAAAGGGCCGCATGTGGCCCTTGGGCCACAAGTTGGGCACTTGGTGTGTAAGGTGTTCAAAAATTTCATCAATATACTGTATATGCAGAACACAACAGTGACCCCTGCTGCTCCAGAAAGTGTTCTGCAAGCAGCAGAGTCTTGTGTTGCGCAGGGACTTCCAGGTGGCTGGTATTAATCGTGCATTTGTGATGGTATTTTTTTAGGGGGTTCCTATAAACACTCATAAATACTCAAATATTTACACTCATTTCTGAACGTCAGTGTTTTGAAACATGCCCAATTTATGATTTGGTGAACAATGTGTGCAATGAAAGGTATTTCACCTAATTTTCCTTTCTCAATTTCAACAGGTTCAATATTTCCCCGATTCAGACTGAAGGTTTCCACTGCTGCTGTAAAGGAGGACTGTGACAAAGCTGCCTTCTCTTATATATACCTGTCATTTAAGAACATCATTAGTGCCAACTGTTCCTCTCCACAGTTAAAAGACTTGTGCTTTGGTAACCCGGATCTTTTATTCCACATAAAAGAGGAAAGACCTCATGGCAGATTTTACCAGTTCCATCCACGCTTTACTTTACAGAAATGTCGTAATGTTAGTGTCTCCTACACATTATTACTAGGTAAGCCCTGATCAGACTCTTTTATAAATTTAGTTAACCAGTTTAGGCCCCCCCCCATAGCAGATACATTGCTACAGGGCAGTCCTCCTGTGCAGAATCACATATATAAATATGATCCTGCACTTCTGCCTTGGGGGCAGCGGACCGCTTCACTGTAAGTGTTTACAGCAGAAACTGATCAGCAGGTGCCGGGCAGTATATGTCCGCCGGCACCCACTGATCTTCGGGGAGAGACACAGAACTGAACTCTGGCTATGTTAACAAGGCAGAGCTCCATTCTGACAGGGGAGAAGTGATGGATCTTGTGTCCCTGCAAAGCAAAGAATAAGATCCATCACTTCCCTTAGTAAAAGCAGCACACAGTTTACACAAAAGCGCTAGCTAGGCACACAGTTAACCCTTTGATCCCCCTAGATGTTTAACCCCTTCCTAACCAGTGTCATTAGTACAGTGTCAGTGCATATTTTTAACACTGATCACTGTATTAGTGTCACTGGATCTCACAAAGTATCAGCCATTGTCAGCTCAGTGTCAGTGTCTCATTGTCCGCTGCAATATCACAGTCCCGCTATAAGTCGCTGATCACCGCCATTACTACTTTAAAAATGAATAAAAGTTCCAGTATAAATATTGCCATTTGTAGATGCTATAACTTTTGCGCAAACCAATCAATACACACTTATTGGGATTTTTTTTAAAGAAAAATATGTAACAGAATACATATTGGCCTAAATTTATGAAGAAATAGATTTTTATTTATTTTATTGGGTAGGTTTTATAGCACAAATTAAAAAAATGTTGCTTTTGTTTAAATTGTCTGTATTTTTTTGTTTATAGCGCAAACAATTAAAACCACAGTGGTGATCACATACAATCAAAAGAAAGCTCTATTTGTGGGAAAAAAATGGCAAGAATTTTATTTGGGTACAGCGTTGCATGATGGTGCAATTGTCAGTTAAAGTAATACACTTCCGTATCACAAAAAAATGCCTGGTCAGGAAGGGGGGTAAATCTTACAGAGGTCAAGTGAATCTCTGCACTAGCTTCAGTAATGGGTTACAAGCTCACTGGATTTCTGGCAGGATCAACATTTTTTTTTTGTATGCACCCAACAAACAGAACAAAAGACTTCCAATAGTATATTTAACAAACCAAAATGAAGCAAATTCATGCATTGTTTAATTTTAGATCGAAGTGTACCTTTCAGTAAGAATGTATCCAAACATTGTATACATGGTGATAGGTTCAGGAGCCAAATGTCATTTGAGTTGAGAAATATGTATTTGTGAATTGCACTGTTATGTACTATAGCTTTATGCCACTTGAACTAGCCATAAGTCAGAAATCAGGACCACGCCATACAGATATAGAGTATCTTATAAATAGGAGGTGATATGTACGATTGTAACCGGGTGCCTCTGGCTGGCATCTTCCAGTCATTGCTGTAGTCATTGTAGTCATACAGTACATCACTGTTCCTTTAATCACTAGTACTAAAAATTTACAGTTGTGTGTTTCTTCATATACAGACAAAAACTCACCTTTTTATTACAACCCAAATTCATCGGAAGTGTATCTGACGCGATCCCTTGATCGAGAAATGAGGGAGAACTATGATTTTGTAGCAAAATGTACAGTGAGAGATAGCACCAGGGAAGTGGATGTTGAACAGTCCTTCCAGATCAGGGTGGATGATATTGATGACAACCCTCCACAATTGTTCAATGACACTAATACAGCTAATGTGGTGGTGGAATATGAGAGAAAGGAGGTAAGTGATGCTGTGACTGGGTGATTGTGGCTATTTTTTACTGCATCTGCTATATTCTACTGAGAAATGTGCATTTACCTACAGCCTGCCTGCTGGGATTGTGTATTATTTTTAATATTCTCCATACATTCCCACATGGAAGAAAAATATATTTGAAATATATTTTAAAAATATTCTTCCTGAATATATTTTAAATATATGTTAAAATGACTTTTTTTAAAATATATTCTTCAGATTTATTTAACATATAAGAAAGTCATTTTAACATATATTTGTAAATGCATTCCAAAAATGTAGATTTGTAATTTTAAAGACATACAGTATATTTGAAATGTATTTTTAAAACTTTTTTTCATATGTTTTGTAATACAAACGCATTTCAACATGCATTTATATATATATATATATATATATATATATATATATATATATATATATATATATAAAAAAAATGTTTTAAATATATTGAATATGGCCAAAATTGTAGCATTTCAAATATATGGCAATATATTTGGGAAGAATATTTTTAAAATATATTTCAAATATATTTTTCTACCATATGGGTTACACCCTGTTTTTTTAAATCCATTTTTTAGGTCTTTGGCTAAGAAACTAAATGGCTTCATGGACAGAACCTATTTGATATCTGAAAATTATATTCTGCTGAGAATGTTAGTTCAATATATCTCTCGTTAGTTATTTGTTTGTTCCTTGTTATTTTTTACAGGTACTTATGTACCGCCATCAATTTACACAGCACTTTACACATATACAGTATATTGTACATTCACATGAGTCCCTAACCCTCAAGGAACGTACAATCAAAGGTCCTAACTCACATTCATACATACACATACTAGAGCCAATTAACCTGTCTTCGGAGTGTGGGAGGAAACCCACACAGGCACAGGGAGAACATGCAAACTCCAGGCAGGTAGTGCAATGATTGGGATTAGAACCAACAACCCTAGAGCAGCTAGGTAGAAGTGGTAAACACTTAGCCACTGTGTGCTGCCCTTTTGAGTTTGATTTCTGTAAGAAATAATTAACCGCAGGGCTTGACCACAGTGACTATGGAAAATGTATTGCAATTCCTATTACTAATACATTAATCAATTCTTCAAGACAGTAAGGTAATTGTCATGAGCTGTATTACATCAGAATTTGCTTATAAATGACCTGAAAATTGGATCAAATTGTCATTCCAATGAGCTTCATTAACTGAATGTGGTTGGTGGTAAAAAGTACTGCCTGTCATCTTGTTGGGATACCAGAATGATTCCTTTTATGATATTAATACATTTCAAAACAATAATGGACTATTCCTTAAGGAGACACCATCGCCTTGCCCATTCAAGCCCCATGCACCAGTAATACTCTCCTGATGAGTATGGGAGGGAGGGGGGGTATGTGATCGCTTGCCACTTGGCAGTGCTCACATCTAGTAGGCAATCTTTGAGCCTAAGCAATGTCCTATGAATTAAGGAGTGAAATCACCATTTCCTTTAGAGAGTCCGACACCAGCCAATACCTTACATTTCACTGGTGACTGCAGAGGAGGCAAGGTTAGTATAACTGGGGCCGGGGACCCTGCATGGGAGATGTAACCTTTTTTTAAGGTCTTTTTAAAAGATGTCACTCTCATCACTATAGTGATGTATTTCTTGTCTTCAAGAGCTGTTCCTTCTCCATGCACTAGTCTCCATCCATCAGTTATAGGAAAACTACTGTACTTCAATAATTATTTCTCGTCTTCAAGAGCTGTTACTTCTCCCACATGGACTGGTCTCACTACATCAGGTATAGGAAATCTACTTCTGAAGTTGCCAGCAGACCGTGGGGAAGGGGCAGCTATCGGGGTGGACTCACTTGTGTTCCCTGAACAATTTGAATGTTACTTTTGAACTAAAAAACAAACATAAACCCAAGAATGCATACACTGGGGTTCAATGTATCAATATTTTCACCCATAACTCATACAACTTGCACCCATGATTCACACATTTTTAGTAGAAAAGCTTTTTACATTGAGATGGTATAATGGGCAGTCATTTTCTGTCAAGTAATCATGAAGAAGAAATGGATCGCGTTACTTATCTCCTTTTACCTAAAGTATATGAAAACCTAAAGCAGAAATAATACACCAAGCAAAATGTATGATTTTGTGTCTCCAGGAGCCGGTTGCTATAATATGTAGCTATGCATAGTATATTTGCACATTATGGTAGACTCACCTAGAATTCCCCTCCAGCGCTGAAATGTCATCAAAACTCCTCTGTCATCGGCGCTTCCATCTTCACCTGGTCTTCTTCTACATTGGCAGTCTTTGATCATCTTGATTGGCCAGGCCAGGATGACATAACTCCCACATATGCACATGGGAGTTGCTTTGTCCCGGCACAAAATCCTGCCGAGACTGTACAGTAAGCTGCTCATGTTTTCTTTTTTTCAGGCTAAGTACATTTTTTTGCGAGTACAAAAAATTATCCAGAAATCCAGTATCCTATAATATCATGTAGCACTACCCCTTAGGCAGTGGTGTATTAGATTTTGTGCTGCCCTAGGCAACACAAAAATCGGCCACCCCCCCACAGAGAGAGCCTGACACCAACCAACACCATTCCCCCCTCCACCCCCTACTTCCCAGCCCCTTACTCGAGAAAGCCCTCCACTACCACCACCCTCCATACACCGGCCATCCCACCCCACCCCCCAGTGAGAGAGAAAAAGATACTCACCTTCACAGCTCCAGACATCCCTTGGAATGAGAGTCAGGTTCTGCACACACTGTCAATCAGCCCGCAGCCTCTCTCAGATCCCACCTAGTCCCCATGCCGCGTGTGTCCCTTCTTCCGGGAAAAATGCCACCCTAGGCAAATGCCTTGTTTGCCTTGTGGTAAATACACCCCTGCCCTTAGGAGTTGCAAAGAGATTTCAGATCCCCCTATAGTCCTGCACAGTCAGGCAACACGCATTTCCACACAGACTTGCATCCAGGTCAGAGATCAGTCCTTGAGCTTTGGCTTCGTTATTTATATGTTTAGGGGATTTGAACTGGGATAGGCGTAGGGGTGTACAGGATGTCCAAGGGAACTGATGAACTGAGGACAACTTCTTGGAAATATTTACAAGCCTTCTCTGCAACACAGTCTTTGTTGGAGAGCTAGCCAGCATCTCCTAATGTACCACCCCAGACCTTAGATGAACTCCTCTTCCCTCACCCAGCAATCTTGAGGTATCCCTGAACTGGGGATCTGGTTCCTGTCTCTTTAAAAAATGGACAGTCCCAGGTAGGTGGTGAATATGGTTTTCCACCAGAGTGCTTCTTTCCCTATCTGCCCAGGGGGTGCCGGGGTACGCACTCTGATCCGCTCCTGTATGACTGATGGGTTGGTGGCTGCTTACAGGCCTTCTAGCTGGGCTGCTCTTTCCATGCTGTACAGGTGGACTTTGCTTTGGGGGCCAGTGAAGGACTGAGTTTTCTAACTTTCCAGCTCTGCAGCCTGTAGGTGAGCCCCCCTCTCCATCTGGGCCCCCTCCCAGGCTCCTGCCTTCAGCTTCACATCTTCCTCTCTGTCTGCCACGTGAACTCTCCCTGCAGTTGAGCAGGCTCAGAAACTCCTAAAGGTTGTTCCAGCCTCTTTCCAAGCCTCCTGTTGGAGATTGGCCAGGATCCCTCAAGAGTTCAGGCCAGCCACTCCTCAGATCTGCCCGCTGCTTCTAGACCTTTCGCCAAAGTCCTAGAGCAGGGGGAAATTCCAGAGGGCTGGTCTGTAGAGCCTCTCGGCTTCTGACCCAGATTTGACCTCCTGACTTTTGCACCCAGGCTGCTATTCAGTCCTCCTCTCTAACAATCAGGACTCTAGCCCCCCCTATCTAACCAGGAGGGAGCTACAAGCATGTGCACTAAACTTCCCAGCTATCTAGTCTGAAGTTCAGAATACTTCTATCTCATGAGGGGAGGTGTCTGTAGTCCAAATCCAGAGAGCAGGGAGACAACGCTGCTTCTCCATAGTTACAAGGCAGTGAGTGAGCATTGTCACCCTAGGACAGAAAATGTGTCATTAAAAAAATCAACAGGTGAAAAAGGAGGAAAAAAAACCATAAAAGAAAACAAATGTAGCCACTACATCTAAGCACTGGTGAGCTGCACTGTGTATTACATTTTTGTGTGGTTTAGAAATGTTTTAATGCTTGCAATAGTGTTACTTTTATTAGTAATGGTTTTACATTGTAATGTAACTCATTCAATTTATTACTTCTTGATCTATTTCCTGTTAACTTTCGATTTTGCTTCCAAATCAAATTGTTTGTTTTTTCATCTAGGGAACAATGCTTGGGTCACTTCTTGTTCTGGATCGTGACTCAACTCCTGTCTATCCTCAAGGCAGCAGTCACAACAAGTACAATGAGACCATCATCAACAATGAATCGTTTGTACAGGAAATGTTCCAGGTGAAGCGTGAACTTAGCGAGTATAAGTTCTGGTCAGATGGCCACGGGGTCCGAGGAACACTTCATGAATTTAGTAAGAAAATCTATATTAATATTTCTTAGTATATTATTACTATATTTTTTATTTTTGTATTTTGTTTTTTTTGGTATTGGTTGGTTTCCAGTTCTAATTTATTAATCATTTGAATGTGTTGGCAGCCATAGAACCTCAAAAATACCGTATGAGGTTTATGAAGTATCTGGAGGAGATCCCCTGCTATGGCTGAGGGTCACCAGACATGAGTATTCTGGTGCAGAGTTTTGTGTGCGAGAATACAGAGACTGGTAGACTGACCCTTAAAACATATTTATCTACTTTCTACAAATCTGGTTGGGCTGATCCAACTTTGGGTCCTTAAATGCTTTTAGCATGCTCAGCCCCTAAACCCTGGATATGTCTGTATGGAATTCCTGATACCAAAAGGTATGAGTTTTGTCCCAACAGCTATCTTTGCAGCTATGGAGGAACTTCTGTGCAACTGGTGGTGAAAGGATCATTTATGGAGCACATTGGGATCATGCCTCCTTGTTCTGTGTTGGCTTAAACTTTCCTCAATCAAATACATTTAATTCATAGGAGTAGCATACTTAGATGAGCTGGATGCATCAGTTTTGGTATTCCAGTTTGTTTTTCTTTATTCAGCAAATTCCACGCTTCCTGTCCCTTTGGGGTTTATTTGCTAAAGCTGAACTCAGGCTCAATTCTGTGTAGAAACCAATCAAGTGAGCCTGATTTTGTACCCTCCAGCTTTAGTAAATAAACCCCTTTGTGTCTACTATCACTTCTCCACTGTATCTCTTGAGGGAGCCAGGGTTGTCAAACAGGCTGGACGTTAAACTTAACTGCCTTTGGTCATCTTTATTACATGGTGAATTACCTGAACTAGTTGTTTAAATAGTTACATAGTCTGGCTGAAAGAAGATAAAAGTCCATCCAGTTCAACCATTAAAAAAAAAAAAAACGTTATAATCCTACACCCACAATTGATCCAGAGGAAGACAAAAACCCCAGCAAAGCATGATGCAATTTGCTCCTGCAGGAGAAAAAATTCCTTCCTGATCCCCGAGAGGCAATCAGATATTCCCTATATCAACTTTACCTATAAATGTTAGTATCCAGTTATATTCTGTGTATCTAAGAAACAATCCAGGCCTTTTTTAAAATAATCCACTGAGCTGGCCACAACCAACACTTGAGGGAGTCTATTCCACATTTTCACAGCTCTCACTGTGAAGAAACCTTTCCGTGTTTGGAGATTAAATTTCTTTTCCTCCAGACGTAAAGAGTGCCCCCTTGTCCTCTGTGATCACCTCAGGGTGAATAGCTCTACACCGAGTTCACTATATGAACCACTGATGTATTTATACATGTTGATCATATCTCCCCTTAATCTCCTTTTCTCAAGTGAGAATAAATTCAGTTCCTCTAATCTTTCCTCATAGCTGAGCTCCTCCATGCCTCTTATCAGTTTGGTTGCCTTTCTCTGTACTTTCTCCAGTTCCCCAATGTTTTTTTTGTGAATTGGTGCCCAAAATTGAACTGCATATTCCAGATGAAGTCTTACTAATGATTTGTACCGGGGTAATATGAGATCTCTCTGTCTGGAGTCTATACCTCTTTTAATACAAGAGATGATTTTGCTCGCTTTAGAAACCGCAGCTTGGCATTGCATGCCATTATTAAGCTTGTGATCTACCAGAATTCCCAGATCCTTCTCCACCATTGATTCCCCCAGTTCCCCCCCCCCCCCCAATATGTATGGTGCATGCATATTCTTAGCCTCCAAGTGCAGAACCTTACATTTATCAACATTAAACCTCATTTGCCACATAGTTGCCCAATTAAACAGTGCATTGAGGTCGGCTTGTAAATTGGAGACATCCTGTAAGGACGTTATTCCACCGCACAGCTTGGTGTCACCTGCAAAGACTGAAATGGGATTTATAATCCCAGACCCTATATCATTTATAAATACATTAAAAAGTAAGGGTCCCAACACTTACAAAAGAAAACTAATATTGTCTACATCGCCTTTTCTTCTTTCAGAAAGTGACAAGGACATGGCATTTCTGGCAAGATCAACAGGTATTTTCTGTACTTGCTAAAAATGTCTTTGGGCTCATTCACATGGGCCCGGAGGCCCTTACAGCATGGAAGAGCTGTTTGTTTATGTTATCCTAGCAGCATGGAGCTGTGTGCAGGCAGCCTGTGATATTCCATAGAGGTGTAGCATGTGAACAGCCTTCTTTGGTGGTGTTTTACATTTTAGGTCAGTGGGTGGTAAAACTGCGGATCAACTAGAGGGTGTCAATAATAGTTTGTTTACATAGTGGCTTCGGAGCAAGAGACCTGTGGAATCATGAGTTTTTTCCTGGCCTAGAATAAAAACTCTGTCACTGTTTAAAAAACCAAATGCAAAGTGCTCCCTGCTAGGGGTGAGCTAGGTTCAGGCTGAAATTGAATGGTCATATGAGGTCAATGATGTCACCAGCATTCCTGTCGCAAAGCCACACATAACAAAGGTGGGGATACTGGTGACATCACTAACCTAATGAGGTCACTCAGTTCAGCGCAAACTTCATGGCTGCAGCTGACTGGGATGGAAACCTGCTGTCATGTGATGGTTTCCTGTGGTTCCAGGCCAAGCTGAGTTCAGTCTGAACCTTAACTCATCCTAAGAAATACTTTTCCCTCCCATTGACTGCGATTCTGATATCCACTGTTGTCACAAGCTACTCTGAAAACTCTTCTGCATTCAACACTTCCTGGGATTGTCAAATCCCTAGTTCCTCTCCGTGCTGTGGGTCCTTCATCTGGTCCTTCATTACTACGAGACATAAAAGATGAAATATGGCCATACAAGCAGAGGCGTCCGTAAGGTTGGTGTCACCCGGTGCGGTAACATGTGGTGTCACCCCTCCAGAGAGGAAGGAGCGGTGCCGGTGTAATGGAAAAAATGAGTATCCCTTTTGTCCCTCTTTCCTCCTCATATGTCCCTCATTTTTGTCTGATCTATACAGTTGTATATAAAATGCACTACATATCTTTCAAAAAGTGTTTCCCTGTACAAAACCTTTCATCCAATTTCTAAATTGCTACATTTGTAAACTTCAAAAGCCAGTAAAAAGGAATAGCAGTGGTTAAAGAAAGCACTTGTGGGTTTAAAGTGTTACTAAACCCACAACAGTAAAATCAGTCTGTATATGTAGTACAGCATGCTTGTTATACTCACTGTAGAACCTAAGGGTTCTGCATTGTGTAAAAAGGCTGTTTGATCCTTTCTTTTCTGTTCCTCCCCTTTTTCAAGTGACCACCTCTTATTTCCAGACTGAACCGCAGGCATGTACATGCTCAGTTTGGTGTGTATTGCTAAAGAGGTTTTTCTTTTTCTTGGGAGAGTGCATGTGATCAGCACAGGGCCAATCAACACTGTCCAGACAGAGCTCAGGGGATGTCCATCCTCCTAGAGCAGAAAGAAAACTCCTCCTATAAGCTTTAGCTAGTGGTGGGCTGGACACAGATAGAAGTCACAAGACTGCTCTAACCAAGGCTGCTGTTAGAAACCACGGGGCCTCGTACAGCCAACCTGACCACTCTCCCCCCCCCCCCCCAAAAAAAAAAAATACTATTGCTATGCGTCAGTTATGAATTAACACAGTAAGTGCTTGGTATTGATCACTCATTGTGTTCATTCAGGAAAGAAAGGGTCTAGTAAATGTGACATATTTACCAGACCCTTCCCCCACTCTCTATCCAGAAGGATCCTATTGTGTGCTTGCAGCTGCAGTTGGTAAGGAGAGGAGGGAAGCCAGCAGCACTGTGGGGCACACATGGAGACCTGGGCAGCAGGGGGAAATGTATGGCGCACAGGGAGGGTTATGGGTGCAGCAGGGGGCAATTACTGGAATCAATCTCCTGTATGGCTCTCTCTGCAACAGCTGAAAGCCAGATTTCAGCTGCAGCAGAGAAAGCCATACAGGAAATCTGTTCCAGTAATCCCCGTTGTGGCAATCACCCTTTATACCCACATCTGATTCACCCAGCTGCCTGGGCCCCCCTGCTGGTCTGGGCCCCATACAGGATGACTGGTAATACCCCCTTATCCACGGCCCTGGCTCTAACTGCTGATGAGAACCAGTATTTAGCAGTTTATATTTACTAAAATAATTGCATTTCCATGTTGTGTGTACTGTGGGAGGCCAGATACAGTGAATGCAGGGTCCGGGGTTTAGTAACACTTTAACTAACCTTTTTTTTATAATTCAAAGTTACATTTTTTTTTTTATAATAACTCAAAACGTTGGGAGGTATGCTTATGTAGGAGGATTCATTTCATCATTGTGCATTACCTGACACCAATCACTTCACTGGGTATATGTAAGGGTTTACAATCACTTTAAGGCTGCATTCACACTTGAGGGTTTTGTAGCCTGAAGCTCCAAAAAGCTCAAACTTAAAAAATCAATTGTTCTCTATGGTGCCTGTTCAAGTGATCAGGTGTGAACAGGCATCATAGAGAACAATTGATTTTTTTAGGTTTGAGTATTTTTGGAGCTTGGAGCATTAAGGTACAAAACACTCAAGTGTGAACACAGCCTGAGTATTGAAACAAAAAAAAGGCATGTATGTGATGTTTTGATAGAACTGCCATCTCCAGTGAAACATTGCTAATGTGTCTTTTATATCTGTCTATATTAGAGCTCCTGCTGAAACAAGGAATACCCATAACCAAAAATCTGTCCATACAAGTCATTGTTTTGGTGAATGATACAGAATACCATCATCCTGGAGGAATCGTACTGTTGTATTTTAATGTCACTATCCTGCCGGTTGAAATTCGGTTTATGGATAGCACTTATCAGTTTACTCTGAACCGAAATGCAGACCGCTTTGCCCAGGTAATTCCTGAAAATAATTAACACAATCAAATACATGTGGTCTGACTTGAGATACATGCAGTGGTGTATTTAGGTTTTGTGCTGCGCTAGGCAACACAAAAATCGGCCACCCCCCCACAGAGAGAGCCTGACACCAACCAACTCTACCCCCCCCTCCACCCCCTACCCCCCAACCCCTTACTCGAGAAGTCAAGGGGGTCAAAGGATCTGGTAAGCTTCCAATTTGCCTTCAAGGTGGCGCAGTGTTCACGTTGGTGGTTATAGAAGTTGAAACAAAGAGTCAAGACTATTCATCATAAAAGGTGACTGTTACATACAGGTGAAACTCGAAAAATTAGAATATTGTGCAAAAGTTCATTTATTTCAGTAATGCAACTTAAAAGGTGAAACTAATATATGAGATAGACTCATTACATGCAAAGCAAGATAGTTCAAGCCGTGATTTGTCATAATTGTGATGATTATGGCTTACAGCTCATGAAAACCCCAAATCCACAATCTCAGAAAACTAGAATATTACATGCAATCAATAAAACAAGGATTGTACATAGAACAATATCGGACCTCTGAAGAGTCTAAGCATGCATATGTACTCAGTACTTGGTTTGGGCCCGTTTTGCAGCAATACTGCCTCAATGCGGTATGGCATGGAAGCTATCAGCCTGTGGCACTGCTGAGGTGTTATGGAAGACCAGGATGCTTCAATAGCGACCTTCAGCTCTTCTGTTCTGTCTCATGTCTCTCATCTTTCTCTTGGCAATGCCCCATAGATTCTCTATGGGGTTCAGGTCAGGCGAGTTTGCTGGCCAATCAAGCACATTAATCCCACGGTCATGGAACCAGGTTTTGGTGCTTTTGGCAGTGTGGGCAGGTGCCAAGTTCTGCTGGAAAATGAAGTCAGCATCCCCATAAAGCTTGACTGCGGACGGAAGCATGAAGTGCTCCAAAATCTCCTGGTGGATGGCTGCGTTGACCTTGGACTTAATGAAGCACAGTGGACCAACACCAGCAGATGACATGGCTCCCCAAATCAACACAGACTGTGGAAACTTCACACTGGACTTCAACCATCTTGCAGTGTGTGCATCTCCATTCTGCCTCCATACTCTGGGTCCTTGGTTTCCAACTGAGATGAAAAAGTTGCTCTCATCAAAAAAGAGGACTTTGGACCACTGAGCAACAGACCAGGTCTGTTTTTCTTTAGCCCAGGTAAGACGCTTCTGACGTTTGTTGTTCAGGAGTGGCTTGACAAGAGGAATACGACATTTGAAGCCCATGTCCAGGATCCGTCTGTGTGTGGTGGCTCTTGATGCACTGACTCCAGCCTCAGTCCACTCCTTGTGAAAGTCCCCAACACTTTTGAATGGCCTTTTCCTGACAATCCTCTCCAGGCTGCGGTCATCCCTGCTGCTTGTGCACCTTTTTCTTCCACACTTTTCCCTTCCACATAACTTTCTATTAATGTGCTTTGAAACAGCACTTTGGGAACATCCAACTTCTTTTGCAATTACCTTTTGAGGCTTTCCCTTCTTATGGAGGGTGTCAATGATGGTTTTCTGCACAACTGTCAGGTCAGCAGTCTTTCCCATGATTGTGATTCCTACTGAACCAGACTGAGAGACCATTTAAAGGCTCAGGAACCCTTGCAGGTGTTATGGCTTAATTAACTGATTAGAGTGGGACACTTTGAGCCTAGAATATTGCACCTTTTCACAATATTCTAATTTTCTGAGATTGTGGATTTGGGGTTTTCATGAGCTGTAAGCCATAATCATTACAATTATGACAAATCACAGCTTGAACTATCTTGCTTTGCATGTAATGAGTCAATCTCATATATTAGTTTCACCTTTTAAGTTGCATTACTGAAATAAATGAACTTTTGCACGATATTCAAATTTTTCGAGTTTCACCTGTATACCTCCATAGGGACTGTCACACATGCGTCAATTATTTCGCACTTTCATTTTTGGTACTGGTTTACCATTGAGCACTTTATTCCCTATTCACATTTGTATATTTATGTATTGTTTGTACATAATATTTATATCACTTTGATTGCACTTTAGTGCAACACCAGATATTTATTTAGATTCCTGAAAATAGCATTGTATAATGATGCATAATGAATGGTCTGAAAGGCGTTTAAAAACTTTATGCAGCCGTTTTGCTGAACATCCGCTATAGATATGATGTATCAGTCAATTGTATTCAGAAGCTTTTAAATGAATACAGTTAATATGATCATATAATCTTGATTGTGCAACTAATGTACCACTTAATTGTTAACTGTAAGCCAAACAATTAGAGAGCCCCGTAATATCTACAGCATACTGTATGTGTGTTTTTTCCTGACTCCATTACTTCCATTAACCAGGTACCTAAGCTTCATGATTTATTAGTTTATAGGCCTATAGGAGGGTGAAGACAAGATGGGTTACAGGTACCAAGCAGATACTGTATAAGAGATAGAAGAAAACTATTTGCGTCTATTCTTTGAGTGCTTGCAACTTTCTAGAAAAGAACTATAACTTTACATGCTGTTGAGTTCTTGTTCAATATGATCTGCTCCCTGAACTGTTAGTCAGTCTATGTGCATTTGTTCCAGTGGCTGCACTTCATTGCTCTGGGCTGGCTTATTGATGGTGAAACCTTAGATCAGTGGTCTCCAAACTGTGGCCCTGGGGCCTGATGCGGTTATTTGCTTGTCTTTATCTGGCCCTTGAGGCATGATTGCTGCCACTGACACCAACAATGGGGCATGATTCCTGCCACTGACACCAACAATGGGGCATAATTCCTTCCACTGACACCAACTATTTCTCCCCCTAATACCAAAGTTTGGGCATTGTTTACTCCCACTGGGCACAATCCGGCCCCCTAAAGCCTGAAGGACAGTAAACTGGCCCTTCTTTTAGAAAGTTTGGAGACCTCTGCCTTAGACCATGTCAGCACAATGTGTGTCAACATGACCACTTATATCCTCCATAATGAGCATGCGTGACAGGTGACAACACAGGGCCAGAGCTGGGAGTCAGTTGTCACGCCATAACAGGAGCTTTGTAAACAAGGACTTTCATGGCAGAATCCACATATACTATTTTAATAGAAAGTGTGTATGGAATTTTAGTGCAGGGCAGTATCTCCACCTACGTAAGGATGAATGGGTATGAAGCTGAGGTAGGTTTGTGTGCACTGCAGTATAGAAAGGTAGTCATAAATAGTTGGGAAAGCAGAGAGGAGGCTTGATCTAAACCTTTGTGGGAGAGTTGGGGGTCTCCATTTAGAATGTAAAGTGTCCATTATGTGGCTTTCCCCTTCAGGGGGATTGCCATTGTTTCTCCCCTGAGTGAGCACCAACAGGATAGCTGAAAGATTCTAATAAATGAAAATCCCATTGGTGGGCAAGAAATCTGAATATGGCCAGTCATGCAGGATGGAATAATGCTTATCTCTGGACAGTTGTGATACAAGTTCCAATGCAGTAAAGAGGAGTTAAAGGAGCATATAGACTTAGTCTCTTTATTCCTTATTAACAGAAGGTAAGCCTGTACCTTTGCAAGCAAAGACAGGGACTGGCCTAATTGGGAAATGGGTGGTGGCATAGTGAAGGTGAGTTGGCCAACTTGGTTAGATGGTTTTCCCTGTGAGACTTCGCGCCTCATAACCAATAACCATGGTGATTTTTTAGGTCCAGGTGAGCTGCAGAGGTGGGGTTTGGGCTCTCTACTGCTGTAATCTATGTACAGTAGGCTTTGACAGGGGAGCTGGCTTAACAGCCCACTGCTAGTTTAACTATAAACTTTTCAAATCCAAGATAGCTAGTGTTAAGCATTCTTCTTGTGGTTGAGACTACAACCACATGCTATATGATTCTGTGGTTTAGTGTGGCTTGTGGATGGCAGTGCTGGAACCAAGGAGACAGTGTCCCACATTTTGTCAGGCTCGCCTTCTGAGTGACTCAAAACTTGGTTGCTGTACGTAATGAGCTTACATGTATCCAGGATCACAGTATGAGCCTTTTAGCATCAAAGCCAGCTATTCTCAACTAGGTTTCTGTGGAACCCAAGGGTTCCTCCTGAGTTGCTAGGTGGTTCCTTGAGCTATGGCTGAATTACTTCCCAACTGATGATGCCTACATAGTTTTGGGTCCAGTACCATTCGGCAGGGTCAGTGGCATAACACTGGTATCTGTAAAGGTGAAATTCTGACCACCACTGTAAGAAGAGTATTGTTTTCACTGACCCCTAATGAATTTATTTTAGCGGGATTTCCCTGAAACCTGAAAATTATTTCAAGGGTTCACTGGGGTAAAACGTTGACCTGGGCTGAGTTTTGTAAGCAATTTTTATCTGCGATATTTACATATTGTAGTGTAGGATTTCTCTATTTAAATATTGATGGTAGGATACTCATATCCTACGTTCTCCTTTATGTCTTGATGTAGAACACACATTGCCATCCTCCAGGTGACCTTCACTTCTTGGCTCGCCACAACTTTACAACTAATAAATAGACTGTTCATTCTTTTCGGGAGAGTTTGTATTTTCAGCCATGGATTTATTGTTTCTCTGCAACTCTAATTTGTACTCACTGCAAAAGCCAATGGACATTTGGGTCACATTTAACCATGTCAGCAAAGTTTTATGAATGTATTGTTAAAAATCCTGAAATCAGAAAATCTTGCTCTTTCTGAGCTGTTTGTCTTACATACAGTTTTACTGCAAATGACATTGCCAAAAGGTTTACTCTTTAAAGTGAACCTATCAGTCATATGAAGTCCTCCCGAAGGACGGACATCACACGTTTCCTTGCATTACTAGTATTAGCTAAGAAAGCCTTTTGTGTGCTTGTCTCAGATTTAGGTTCACCTTGTTAAGACCTGGCTTGTAGATGATTACTAGCCAGTTGCTATTCCAGTCCAGTGGCCAGTCGAGGCACACTCATAGTAGTTGCTAGACTTAGTCCAGAAGCCGGAGTGAAACTAAATAAGAGAAGTGCACAGAGGAGGCTTTCATTGCTAATGCAAATTATAGGAGTTCTGTGGTTGTCTGCTCCTTGGCAGAATGTTTACTGTTCTGTCTCTCCAATCTAAGCATTGAAAGTGTGATCTCTGTAACTTGCAGTTGTGATGAGATAGCGATAACTCCAATCTTAGTTGAATAACACAGGCAGTGACTCAATCCAGATGACATCTTGTAGATCTTGTGAAGTTTATTTCATAAACTGAGAGAATCTTACAACAATGAACATCGGATAGGTCAAAAGATCATAATGTGATCTGCTTCCATAAGACATGAGGCTTGAAGCTGAAATGCATTTCTGGGAAAAGGGGGCTATCTATACAGCATGAACTAAACCAAAGGAAAGGGAGGAGCAGAAACAAAATACAAACACTTCAAGGCATATGACAGTCATGTGAAACATGACATTTACTTTTAAAAATGTACAATGATTGGCAGGTTTGCTTTACGGTTTATGAACAGTTAAACCTTCATTCCATTTTGGATGAAGCAGTAAAAAAGTAAAGCTGAACTCCAGCATTACTTTCAGTCTTGAACAGTTGCACAGGCTGCTCTCCTACACACTCTGCTTACTCTCATTTCACTGCACACTGTGAGCTCCTCATAGCGTGCATTATAGAAGCTACAGCAAATCATATACAGCCCTCCTCATTACCTGGCTGGAGGACATCCAGCATCATCTAGCACTTTCTCTCCAGCCTTACTGCCCCTGGCCAATTCACGTTTATTCATGGGATTGGGTTCTTTCAAACCTAGATTTTAAGCATCGCAGTAGGTAGGCTGTCCTGCATGCAAATGTTGTCTGTCTAGGAATGCTTGCTCCTCCAGAATGACATCCACCCATCCAGACATTTTTCTATATTTGAATAACTCTTTCTAACAGCCAGCTCACTACTTATGTCAGGGCTGAGAGCTCTTTTGGAGGAGAACTAAGACAGGATGCTTTGATATTTATAGGAAGCTATGTACAGCACCCTTGTGGTACCTCCCACGAGCCACTATATGCTTGCATTACATAGGAAAGCACAGAGACCTCGCTGACATCACAGGATCTAAAATAAAGTCATCTTGATGAGGGGAGAGGAAGGTAAGGCAACATAGAAGCATAATAACTTTCAGGTTTAAAACCTTCATCAGTTACTTTCACTAATTGTCCCACAGGAAGTAAGAGGGAATCTGTACATAAAGAGGGGAAACCCTTTTAGGGTTGTCACCAGAACAGTTGTCTCCAGTGAAGGATTTCCCATGACCTCTTCTTCTGAAAATTTTGGAATGCCTTTCAATTTCTGCCTCAGTGACAGAGGTCACCAGGAAAACAGAGATGAAATCTCCCTAATGGGGACAGCAATAAGAACTTGACAGGGGCTCTAATACATCAACTTAACATCTACTCTAACCAAAACCAAAAAAACTCTTAACCCCATTTACCATTATCATTAAATAACTGGTATTTCTTCTGTTTTCCCTCAGATAGGAAGAGTGTGCATTGAAAACTGTGAACTATTGAAAGGCGTCAATGTGACTTACGCATTACAAACACCAAATGGCACACGCCCCATTGCTATTCAAAAGGAAGCAGAAGAAATGTTTGCAACTCTGTATGTTCATGACCCCAACGCTCTGGTGAATCACGGTGGGAAGGAAATCTTGTGCAATGTTTCGGTATCCAATGTGGAGCTCAAGAAGCCAATTAAAGCCCAGGTCACAGTAACATTAGTGGGGACATGTGAGTATAAACTGCTTGTTAAATAAATTTCCTACAAGAAGAAATGTGAACAGTACAGCATTAGGGCCTATTTACACCTATACTTGATTTACACTACATTGTGTTAGGAAAGCCGTTGACTTTAGGCTTTGGGTGCTTACCATTGTGGTGACTTGCATTGCCAAAATATTGTTTCTGGTATTTATTATTCACTTTTGTTGTGTTAAAGTGTACGTTAGTGCAGGTGCATTTGGTGGGACTTTATAGGTTTATTGCTATGCCATGCTACATTGGGTAAACAGGGCCCTAAATCAGTTTTATCTATGCCAGCATAGTTTGGCAGTGTAGTATACAATGCAGTAGGTGTATTTATATGTGCCGTCTGACTGTCAGAATATATTATATATATAGTATATAGTATAGGCAATCAAAAGGCTCCTCTCTTTCACAACATACCTCACCTGTAGTTTTATGCTTTATGTGGTGTAAAACCCAAAAGCAAAACATTTATTAAATTGCAGCTTACCAATTCTTAGATGTGACGCCTGCATTAGTTTCTTTTTTTTTTTTGCTTTCTTTCTTTCTTTCTTTTTTTATGACCTGGTGATCCTGGCAATAAGTCTGCTGTTTTTGAACAGATGTAGCCATTAGAGGGTTCAGACAAACCTGATCACTGACAGGGGTGCTTACAATGATCAACTTTTATTTATGTAGTACATGAAACCTTTATCCCAAAAGGAAAAAAAACTGTAGCTGTAACTGCATTTACACCCCGGTCACATCGAGTGCGATTTGGCATGCGATTTGCATGCCGTGCAACTTGCAAATTGTATGCCAAGTCGCACCCTATTGTTTGCAATTAGAGTGGTCATATTGGTGCGGTTTCGGCTTGATTGGAGCCTCACCGATTTCTAAAGTAGTGCATGCACTACTTGTGGTGCAATTTGCATAGACATCTTTAAGTGGTATCTTACCGCATCCGAGTTTGCGGTAGGATACCGCATAGCATTTAAAAAAAAACATTTGAATTCACTAAAAAAACGCTACTAAGCTCAAGTCATGCGGTATTTTAGTAGTGAAAGCCATACATTATTGTTTCAGCTGTCAGCAAAGTTCGCCACTGACAGCTGAATGTAAAAAGAATTAAAAAACAGCTTGGGGTCCCACCCTCCGTCCATACCAAGCTCTTTGGGTCTGGTATAGATTTTGAGGGGAACCCCCATGCCAAAATTAAAAAAAAAAAAATGGGAGTCCCCCCTCCCCTTTCCTGAACCATACCAGACCACATGCCCTCAACATGGGGGGGTGCTTCGGAGCAGGGGGGCTCCCCTCCTCCAAAGCACTCTGTCACCTTGGGGACAAGGGCCTCTTCCCCACAACCCTGGGCTGTTGTTTTGGGGGTCTGCGGGTGGGTGGTTATCGGAATCTGGAAGCCAGATCCCCAGATCCTGACCCCCTCCCATGTGAATGAGTATGGGGTACATGGTACCGCTACCCATTCACAAAAAATAAGTGTAGTGTGAAAAAAGACAGGACACGGTGTTGGACAAGTCCTTTATTAAAAGAAAGAAAATAAAAGAATGTCCCCCCAAAGTACATCCAACGTCATTTATGAAGCCCGCCACCGGGGGAACCCCACTGACAGCTGAAACAATAACGCATGGTTTTCATTGAAATATTGCATGACTTTATAAAATAACTCATGCGGTATTTTAGTAGTGTTTTTTTTTAGTGAATTCAAACGTTTTTCTTTTTTTAAATGCTATGCGGTATCCTACTGCATACTCGGATGCGGTAAGATATTGCTTAGTGAATTGTGCCCTGTGTCAGATGTCTTGCAAATCGTGCCTGAAATCGGCGGTTCACCCAACTTTGAAATCGTGCAACTTCACTGTAAGTCACAAGATTTGAAAGTTGGTCTTGATGTGATCGGGAGCTTAAAATATTAGCTGGAGTTTGGCTTCAATTTGTTTAGTGAAATTAAAATGGACCCGCCCCCTTTTTTTAAACCCTGCTTACCTGATTGTGGGTCTTGCACATTTGGTACTCACCTGCCCAGTGGGTCTGCTTGGTCCTGCGCCACCATCTTCTTTGGTGACGTGATTGGAAAGCTTCCAGCTCTTCCAAGTTCAGCCGGCTGCTTCCCGATGATGAGCTGCCTGGCCCCCCTCCTTTCCCAATGAAGGACTATGCCTCCCAGGAGCCACAGTGGGCAAAGTGCAGCTCATTCTCATAGGCAAGTGATGTCCATGGGGGGGCAGGCCATATTGTTTTCAATTTAAAAAAAAAAATTTGCACAGTGGAGGTGTGGCGGCAACAGCCTGTTGAGAGTGAAAATCCACTTTAAATCTCTTAGTTTATCTATCACTCCCCGCCCTCCAGGCTGACAATTCTGCTCCCCAAAGGTGCCCCCTGTGCTCCTTCATCCAGAGTGGGAGCACTCAAATACTGGAGGTGTGTTACTGGCCAGATCACCAAGTGAGAACAGAGGGAAAAAAGACAAAAAAAAAGAAAACTAATACAGCCACCACATCTAATGATTGGTAAGCTGCAATATAATACATTTGTGGTTTTGGGCTTAAAACCACTTTAATAACGGGTGCTTTCATTGTATAATGAGCATAGCTTCACCCTATATAGGATGTCTGACTGTGTGATAGTGGCAAAACTGGCTTCAATCATTGCAAGAAACACAGAGAAAGAGTGTCTTAGAGAGCACCCCCCCCCCCCCCCCCACCTCCATACAGGTATAAGCACAAATCCATAAAGTTCCCAGGAAAAACAGTCTTGTAACCACTTGAATGGTCCCCGGTGTTTCCTATTCAGAGCAATGCATTCCCCAATCTCCATCACATGGCGCACACTCAGGGCAATGTATTTCTTCTCTACACATCACCTTACAGGATACAACTGCAGAAATAGAATGTCCAGGCTGCAGAGTAAACTTTGTTTCAGCTATTTCCAGGCCTCTGTAGGTTTTTCCTTCATATACAAAGCCCAATTCCAGGAATGAACCCCCAGACTGCAAGGGTTAACTGCTTGTTTAGTCTAGGGGTGCGCTGGGCTATGATTAAGGCTGCAAGCCAGCTGAAACGCAGTAGTGGACTATATTCTTTTTTAATCTCGAAAGGGCAGGGCCCTCGATCCCCTCATGTTTTGCATTGTATTGGTATTGTTCTGTCCCCCTTTTGTAATGTACAGCGCTGAGCAAACTATTGGCGCTTTATAAATACTGAATATTAATAATAATAATAATAATAATAATAATAATGGATTTTCCTGTTTTACAAGAAAGTATTTTTCGAAGGGAACACTGTGTACGAGATAACTGTTCTTACCATTAGATATGTGGACAGACGAGTAGCCTTCTGTGCACCACAATCTCCCTGCAAAGCCTAACTAGCAACCAGGTTGAGCAGGTATACTATTTGTAATGCTTGCAGGAATAAGATGCAATGCTTACCTTATTCTTCACTCCAGCAGGGTCCCTCCAGCAGTGTGATAGGTCCCTGGCAGCCTCCTCTAAGGTGCGCCCAACTGTAGTCGCACTGCTGCCTCCTGCATATTAATAGCCCTACATTCCCACATGGAAGAAAAATATATTTAAAAATATTCTTCCCAAATATATTGACATATATTTGAAATGCTACAATTTTGGCCATATTCAATATATTTCAATATATATATATACTGTTGAAATGTGTTTTTATTTTCAAATATAATGTCTTTAAAAATACAAGTCTACATTAAATATGACATTTTTATATGTTAAAAGAAATCTGAAGAACATATATGGGCAGCACAGTGGCTAAGTGGTTAGCACTTCTGCCTGGCAGTACTAGGGTTGCCGGTTTGAATCCCAACCACAGCACCACCTGCCTGGAGTTTGCATGTTCTCCCTGCACCTGCATGGGTTTCCTCCCACACTCCAAAGACATGCTGGTAGGTTAATTGGTTCCTGTCTAAATTGTCCCTAGTATGTGTATGAATGTATGTTAGGGACCTTAGATTGTACACCCCTTGAGGGTTAGGGACTGATGTGAATGTACAATATATATGTAAAGCGCTGCGTACATCGATGGCGCTATATAAGTACCTGTAATAATTAAAATATATTTTAAAAAAATAAATATATTCTTACATATATTTGTAAATGCATTCCAAAAATGCAGATTTGTATTTTTTTAGACATACATACAGTATATTTGAAATGTATTTGTAAAAATATTTTTCATATATTTTGCAATAAAACAGCGTTTCAACATACAGTGTGTGTATGTGTATATATATATATATATATATATATATATATATATATATATATAATTTTTTTTTTTTTTTTTTTTTTTTTTTATTGAAATATATTTTGAAATATATGGAATATGGCCAAAATTGTAGCATTTCAAAATATATGCCAATATATTTGGGAAGAATATTTTTAAAATATATTTCAAATATATTTTTCTTCCATATGGGTTGCTTGTGATAATGCAGAGAGAGAGGAGGAGAGCGCTGGAGCCAGCCGGAGCAGGAGTAAGGTAAATAGATAAATACTACATCCTCTCCAGCTACCCTAACGAGCATTCAACCCTTGCAGTGCAAGGCTATCCCACCAGAAGGATAGATTTTGTCTTAATTTCTTGAGTTGGGTGAGTTGGGCTTTACATTTTCTACTAGTGAAATACAAGTCTAATTATGTTCAGAATATGACATAGAATTATAAAAAAGTATTTTTGCTTTCTGTGCTTGTGTTATCCAGTTAGGAAAACTGATGAGGACTGTCCTCGCTCCTGCTCAGGGAACAAGCATCAAGACGAGTGTGAGATGTGTGGGGGACTCGGCTCCCTCACTGGACGGTGCCAGTGGCGACAGGGACATGGTGAAGGTATAATACATTTTGGCCTAATAGATAACGTCTGGAAGGTTTTATAAACTGTCTGCAATGACTACCTTCAAACTGCACAAAGAAACACCCACAGCAGATTAGATGGGAAAGCAGTATATGGTCTTATTTAGCCAGATATGCTTAGAAAATCTCATTAACCTCTTCCCGGTGGCCTTTTAAGTGGTCTTTAATACACAGGAGGCAGTGCAGCCTATGCATCATGTGACTTCTGTGATTAGCTTTCAAAATGGTCACATTATTGGCCCCGTACTGCTGGCTGCGAATCAGAAGCAGCGTTTGAGAGCTGTCGATGTCAGCTTGGTCAGTGTGCTGGGAACCCCCCCAAAACAACCTTAGCTCAGTTTTCATGCTGCCGCCTATAGCAAGAGGTTAGAGAGGACATAAATATAGTTACCATATGTATATTTAACATACTATGGAATTTATAAAGAATGCCATAGATATTCTTTAGAAGTCTATTTCACAGTAGTGCAACAAATGGAGGAACTTCTCCTCCTCTGGTGGAATTTTCTTGGAGGTCACGTGTGAGTAATGGAAATATATTAAATATCAGTTCTGGAGGAACATGAATTTTGTCACAGAATTGGTTTAAAAAATGTAACACAATTAACAATTTACCCCAGCAAGGAAGAGGACTTATTTACGTCCACTTTCCTTTTACCGATGAATTTTCTACAATAGTAGCTCCATACAGTAAAGGCGTTGCAAATGAAAACAGCTTGTGTTGCCCATTTCAATACTAAAGTTTGCCATAGACAAGTAGTTTTTTTTTTTTTTGTTCAGCCAGGGGGCTGATTGAAAAAAAAATTATTCCCCCATCAACACAAGTGAGGTGGATGGAGGAATCTCTCCGTCGGGACAGAATACACTGATCAGTGGCTGCAGTCTATTGGCATTAGCTGCTGATTGACAAAAGTTTTTCAGCATCCTTTCAACAGACATTGATGTAACGATCCGCTTCTGATGAGCAGGAGCAGCCACACGCAGATTCAAATCTATCTGTTCCCTGCTGAACTGGCTGAATTTCGATCCATCTTTGACCAGCTTAACAAGAAAAATGTTGTAGGGCTTTTATGAATTAGGAACTTGGTTTCCAGCTACATTCACACAGCCAGAAATGTGTTGCAAATGCCTTACTGAATCGGCCTAGAGCGTTGCTTTACTTCTAAGTTGCCAAAGACCTTTTCTTCCAACATTCTTTATTCTCATTTACTTTCTAAGGTATCAGCAAAAACTATTCTACCTGTACCCCTAGTATCTCGACATGCCCAGATGGCATCTGTGATTCTGTGGAGACCAAAGATCCATCGATCTGCCCCCAGGACTGCACAAGTGCGTTTCTCAAATGAATTGGAGCAAGTATATGTTTTTATGATAGGCTTTTGCATAAAAAACTGAAAATAACTGAAAACCGTTTAAATGATTTCATTTATTTAATGCAGGAATTTATATAGCACTAACAATTTATGCAGTGTTTATGTCAGTCCCTGTCTTCCAGGATTTTACAAACTAAAGTTTTTAACTCATGTAGCACTACCCTCTTGAGGACCGCCGAGTTTTTGGGTCACCCCTAAGCTCTGCACAGCTAGGCAACACACATTTTCCAACACTCTCATCTGAAGTCAGTAAAACAGTCCTTGAACTTGGTTTTGTTGTTTTTTTATAGGGGGTTAACAACTTGGATGGGGTCTAGGGGTATATGGGATGCCTAAGGAAGTTTACAACTTTGAGGACGAACTTCTTTGTAAAAATGGACAAAAAAAATCAGCAACCAGTCTAGTAAGGAGCACTGAGTCCCTTTTACAGAACCTCTTCAGACCTCAGATGAAAATTTCCTTATCCACCCAGCTGTCTTCAGAGTGTGCCTGAGCAAGGGATTCCAAGATCTATAGTGAAGTAGTCCCAGTGAGAACTAGTTGGGTATTGCTCCTGACCACCATCTCCCTTCTTCGGCCTAGGGGGTATAAAAGTACTCACACTGTCCTTTTTTCCTGTAGCTTAGTGGGTTGCAGCTGCTTTCAGGCTTTGGGCCTGGGCTGGCTCCTTCCCTGCTGACAGGCTGTCTTTCCCTGTAAACTGTGGGACAATGGAGATTCTTCTGTCCAACTTCAGCCTGTAGGTAGGCACCTCTCTGCTTGGGTCCCCTCCCAAGCTCCACACACCAGCACCTTCCTTCGCTCTATCTTCCACCCGACTCCAACTACTCTGCTGCTCAGGCTCTCCAACATTTAAGGGTTGTCCTAGCCACCATACCAGGCCTCCTGTCTGGGTATTGGTCAGGTTCCTTCAAACATGCAAATCCAGGCCTCTTCTAGAACATTCCAGCAGTTTCTTGAAGGTTGGGAGGGCTCCAGAAGCCCTAATCCGAGATAACCTCACTGCCTTACTCCCAGGCTTCTAGCAAACCTCTGACTCACAGACAAAAATCCTATCTAGCTAGAGGGCGCTAAACTTGCATGCAAACATACATGCACTAGGGACAATTTAGGAAGGAAACAATTGGGCTACATTTACAGTTTAACCGTGGAGAGTTTGCTGCATTAAGAGGTGGCTAAACACTGCAACTGGATGCAGCAACACTCTGTGCTATGGCTGCATACAAACTAGCCAAATAACTTCACAGAAATGTCAACCACACTGGATCTAGATAAACGTAGCAAAAAAGAAATGAAAAACATCAGGTATAAAGGACAAAGGGAACCCCAAGTCCAGCATATAGCAGCTGTAAAAGTCAATTGTAAATGATGGGACTCTTCAAGTGTCATCTCAGAATCAGATGTTCCTAAATCATGGTATTGTGTCAGTCTTGCTGCCTTCTTCAGATATGGGGAAATCCTACAACAAAGTGAATGAAACAAAAACAGAAAAGAGGGTGCACCAGCCTCATGCATTACTATAAAAATGGTTTATTGAGAAATTCCAATATACTCACAAAAGGAATGTCCAGGCACATGGAATCCATCCAGTACAAATGCTCACCAGCAAGGAGCGAGGCTTACATGTTTTTAAGGACAGAACCCTCTTCATCAGAGCTCACTGAGGCACAAAAAATGAATGAACACTGTGTATAGTACTCCTAGAACTGAGAGCTGAGAGTAAACTCTGCCCCCAGCCTGTTAGGTAGGGGGAGAGGCCAAGGTGCATCAAGTTAACCTCGTCGCCTCACCATGTGTACAGATGATTGGTTGGAAATCCCCAACGCCATCGCCCTGTTCCAACACAGCACCAGCTCTTCCATTGGTCAGAAGTTACTCATTTGCAATGTTTTCCATGTGTAGCACCCTCCTAAATAGGATACTGGATAGGCCAGGAAAATGTAGTCCATTTTGGCCTTTTAAAGCAGCAAGCAAACCAGACCCAACTGTCAAACATTGACTGTATGTCCAAAGAACAAGGGCAAACAAGAATCAAAAGTAAAAAACAAATTACAAAAAAATAAATCATACCACCAATAGGGATGCATCACATTGGTCCCACTGCAAACATCAATTGCACATATTATTATTTATTTCAGGTACTTATATAGCACTGTCAATTTAGACAGTGCTTTACATATATATATATTATACATTCACATCAGTCCCTAACCCTCAAGGGGTGTACAATCTAAAGGTCCCTAACTCACATTCATACATACACACACACACACACACACATATACACTAGGGCCAATTTAGACAGGATCCAATTAACCTACCAGCATGTCTTTGGAGTGCCGGAGGAAACCCACACAAGCACAGGGAGAACATGCAAACTCCATGCAGGAGGTGCTATGGTTGGGAATTGAACCCATGACCCATTTACTGCAAGGCAGGCGTGTTAACCACTAAGCCACTGTGCTGCCCAGTATAGGTATTATAATCCAGATAGAATAAAAAGGATATTGGATAGGCCAGCCAGATTTAGTTTTTTTTGGCTCCCTAAAGCAGCAAGCAAACCAGACCCAACTGTCAAACATTGACTGTATGACCAAAGAACAACGAAAAACAAGATTAAAAAAAACAAAACAAAAAAACATAATAGCACAGGGGTACCCCCAATAGGGATGCATCACATTGGTCCCATTGCAACAAAAGTGTGTATGCTGAACTAAGCCGATCTACAGAGCTTCCTGGTCCTTACCATGATGATAAATTTGGAAAAACGTTTTGTCTGTAGTTCTATTTTAAGACACATAGGTGATAAAGAATGCAGAAAAAGGTGGGGGGGGCACATGTTCAAGTGTAATATCAATAACAAAAACATTGCCATGAAGTTCCAGGTCGTAACGGGACCCATTTGGAGTTGTTACATTACCAAAATGTCTATATCCCTCTGGGAGTATGATACATTTCAAACTAGTATATATATTGAAATAAAATGTTTTGTTTTTAGTAGAGTAGGGGAGGCTAGGACCCCATTAGATGCTCAGTTTGTCTTCCATTGCTGAATTCTGAATCTTACAGAGTCTTCTGTCCTAAGTTTGAAATCCAGGTATATAGAGTAATATACATTAGAAATACATATTGCACAACTGTTTTACCCTTCAAAAGGATTTGTAGTTTTGTTCAGGCAATCTTGTGAGCCTGGCACCCCTTTCTGACAGCATAGCCAGATCAGTGCTTAAAAGTGATAGGATATTCAACGTCTTCAAAACTATGCTGCCTGTGGTGTCATCATTTATAGGACTTATTAGCAAACCCTTATTGGTTCTGTTCACCTAATGTTGTGTTTTTCTTCTTGATCAGAGCTGGATATCATTGGTGGTCATGAAAAAGGGATTCCTGCTGGAATTAAGGCAGGCCATGGCACGTGTTATTGCTTTCTCCCTAACAAGTGTTTCTGCGAGAACAACATTGTAGAGGGTAAATCATTTCTCCATCTTTCAATTTGTTCACAATTTTTCAAGAATTTAAATTTTACATTGATTAGGGTTGGTCCACCCAAAATAAATGTGATATGTGCTGACAGTATCTAATGCTGTATCAGTGCAATCTAAATGAAGATTTATGGTAAATCTCTCTGGTATTTTTACTGAGAGATATACAAGTAGGTAACTGCTGGGTTAAAGTATCACAATATTTTCCCCATACTTATATAATTCATTATGTGTACATCGGAGCATTCATGCACACTTAATTGTATATACTGTATTTACTGGCAATTGTGAACTATTAATTTTGTGCACTAAATTTGTTTTTATGTCCAGTATATGTTCCCAAAGCCCTGATCTTTGTTAAATAGTGTGAATGTTTATTTTTTACTACTTCATCAATGGTTTAACCGTGGTGTCACCCCGGTCCCGGGCTCTGTTTTGATAGACAGAAGGATGTCCTGTGCAGGGACCGGACAGTGACGTGTGATGCAGAGGGGCAGGCTCTGAGCGGGGTCATTATCATTCATTGTCTGACATGTAGAGTAGGAGCTGTCCGATCAGAGGGTGGGGGGGTGTACAGGGGACAGGCTGGATGTGAATTGTCCTGCAGCAGAACCCCCCCCCCCCTCCCCCACTGGGACCTGATATCTCACCCGCCGCATAGCATGGCTGTTCCTGGGGCTGCAGAAGGGATGAGGAGCTCCAGTACCGGGGGAGAGGATGGGGACACTGCACTCGAATGGTTGACAGCCACTGACAGCTCTTCTTTTAATTTTGGTGTCACCCCCTGTGATGGTGCGTCCCACCTAGTGCCCAGTGATGTCACCCCCCTAGTGACATCACTGGGCACCAGTTTCTTAAAAGTCTTGATAGCTCTTGTTCTACCATTGGCAGTGTGTGAAAGAAGAGTTCATGTGATGCTATATTTTTATGGTACTGTTTTTGTAATTGTTGCAATAGTCATTTGGGCAGAAGTCAAACACTAACTTGCACTCACTCATATACCCTTGTATATACACACACATGTCAATGCAAGCTAATGACACCACTTTTTCTGTTATGAAGATATGCAATAAATACAATGTGTATGTCCTTTATAATATTGGGCTTCATTATTGCTCTCAAGAAGTATAAGAGAGTTTTTTTTCTATGTGAATTAAATCCCACTTCCAGAATTTAAAAAAAAAATCTACCATTGCAGTGGGGCTCCCTTGCACTGCAGAGTTTAAGGATCCATGCACACAGGGCATTTGAATAACACTGTTAACATTAGCTGTTTGGTCACATTAAAAATGTGAGTTTTTCAGCAATTTTGCATTAGAGTTTAGCGGCGTTTTGCAGCGTTTTTTCATGTTTGCATTTTTTAGAGGGTTTTTTTACAAACTTTTTTTGGGGTCAAAAAAAGTCCAAAAACATCGGTTTGCAGCAATTTACTGTGTTTTACTGCGTTTGGCTGTGTTTTTCAGCGTTAGAGCATTTTTACAGCTAAAATACTCCTCTAGAAACCCACTAGTCCTGGGGTTTTTTCCAGCCAAAAAATGTTGTTTGCAGTCTATGTGTGCATGTAGAATAAAGTCAAAAGCCAAAAACAGCCACTGTAAAAATGTCCCGTGTGCATAGGGACTAAAGGTTGGTATGTCCAGGTGGTAGAGGAACAGGCATTGCTACATATCCTATGCCCTGCTCAGGTCAGCTGCGGGGCTGCCCTCTTCTTCACGAAGTGTAAATCTGTGGATGGTCTCCTGGCATTATCACTTATGATGCAGGGCTATTAATCCTGCATTGTACAAAGAGGAGGTTAGAGTGCAACTGCAGCCGTGGCTCAGGATAGTCCAAAAGGATCAGTAACAACAGTAAGAGGACAACCTTCTCTTCAATCTTTTTCTGGAGGTGGCAGGGAATGACCAGTATATATAGGACCCTACAGCAGCAGTCCACAAAGCCACATTTGGCAATTAGTTCCTTTATAGCACTCACATAGCTATCAGTTGCCCTGCAAGGTCTTTACTTACAGTGTCCCAGGAGCTGTCTGCCACCCAGCATCCACATATAGATCCTTAGTGAGGGAGATAATAAGAACCTTCTCCAGACCAAGACTTCAGTGCAGTGGTCCCCCGCAAATGTAATCATCAGGTAGTCTTCCCCAGGCCCTCAGCCCAGCGCAGCTGCTGAGGCCTACACTGCAGCTTCTTGTCACTCTGGCTATCGCCCAGGGGCAACATCCCCCCCCAGGAGAACTGGAATCCCTCCTTGAGGGAAAGAACTCTTTGCTGAGGCCTCCTGCATCTTTATCACCTCCTCAGTTACTTTCTGGATTCCTCCTTCCAGGGAATCGCTGGGGCTTAATAAATATTTAACTGATCATCTGAATCTCCCTGCCCTATGCTGTGAAAACATCATTCAGAGGCAGGTCAGAGTAATCACACTCTCAGTTCAGGAAACCCTGAACAGACCAATACAATTGACCACTGCTCCACTCACTAGAATGGAGCCAAAAACTAAATTTCCCCAGCAGCCTATCTAGAGGAGGGCACTACATCTATGATACTGAAATAGGGATGTTAATTTTTTCAGAGTTTTGAGAAATTATCCTACAGGAATGTACGTTTAAATGATAAATTATTTCCCAAAATAATAATTCATAGTCTCGTAAGAAATTGATGTGTTTAGGATGCACAATGTCCTACTGATGTGTAGCTGAAATCTTTTGAGACAAAATTGACAGAAGAAGATGTAGGGTCTGGTGCATTAAATTGTGTAAGTTAGCACAAAATTGTTGGTGGCCAAGGTGACTCATCAGAATTCTTGTTTTTCATAAACCAAGGTGAAATTAAATTATTGGCCATTGTCAACAATTCCAATTTTTTTTGTAGATCTCTACTAAGTGGACATATTGGCCAGGTTACATGTCCCCTATAGAGTAAAAGATGAAACCGGAGTTGTATCTCAATATTAAACAAATGTCATTGCTAGCCTTATTTACTGTGGGATGTCATCTTTCCAGACGTTCAAGGCTTCTTCCAACACAGACCTATGAATGCAGTATTGTAATTTTTTTTTCATGTCAGTGGCCCTACTTGCTTATTAATGCAGACACACGTATGTTTATTTCCTCTACAGTTCCGCTGTGTGATGAAATGTGTAAAACAGTCATAGCATGTGGAGTCTTCCTGTCCTTCATAATCTCTGTGCTGCTTTCATCATATTTTATTCATCGCTATCATAAAAACTCACCAAAACCTCCAATCGCTTCTGCTGAGATGACTTTCCGCCGGCCTGCCCAGTCCTACCCAGTCAGCTATTCTTCTACCAATGCTCGCCGCCCATCTCTGGACTCTATGGAGAACCAGGTCTCCGTGGATACGTTTAAAATACCTGTAAGTTTTTCTGTTTGTTCTCAAAGTCTCAAATTATAGATCATGTTTACAATAATCCAGGGAGAACTGTGTGCTCTGTCCCAGAGAAATCGAACAAAATTCAAATTTAAAGTGTAACTCATCTGTGTCAAGTAACTTAGTTCAGTTGTATTACCAACTGGTTATATTTTTCTTGCCTATAAGGAGGATCCAAAGTGGGAATTTCCCCGGAAAAACTTGGTCCTGGGTAAAACTCTTGGAGAAGGAGAATTTGGCAAGGTGGTTAAAGCAACAGCATTTAGACTGAAGGGGAAAGCTGGTTACACTACAGTAGCTGTGAAAATGTTAAAAGGTAAGAATGATTACTTTTTCTTCCCTGTGGGGCAGGTTTTACACCACAATTTACTTTAATGATAAAAGGAGGGTACAGTACAGGCTCTGGGGCAATGTCCTGGCTATCCTGGGACAGCCTAACAAAAAGCGTGACTGTCCCAGCAAATCCGGGACAGTTGGCAGGTATGATGTAATGCAAGATTATCATGGGGCCCCCCGAGCAGTGCCCAGGGGTGCCAATGCATTAAGACAGCCCTGCATTGCTCTACTATTTTGTACATAAAAATTAAGTAAACTAAGGAGAGTTATTTCTCTCTCATTCAAGTCCAAGATGTCCAATTGACATTTTGCTGAAGTTTATGGTGCTCCATCACAGTAGCATAATGAGCTTGCCTGTTGTGTAGATAATAGAGACTGGTTTCCAAAGGGGGCTAGAGTGAAGCAACTTTTTACAAATGTAGTGTTACACAGCAATACAGGATGCTAGAGGAACCAACCGCCATAGAGGGTGTAAAGGCATCACACACTACTTCGGTGGGAGCAAAATATAGGTTATTTGCATAAAACTCATCCAGGACTGCATGACTTGACTATAGGATGGTCTAAGTGGAAGAGAAGCAAGAAGGCTTTCGAAGTGTGTGTGTGTGTGTGTGTGTGTGTGTGTGTGTGGGGGGGGGGGGTTCCACCGCCATGCCTCAGTAAGATTACCTGCTGATGCCCAATTAAATCCCTAGTAGTTGTCCTGGAGGTGGCATACCTGTCCATACCTGTCTATGGCATTGAAGTCTCAAATGTATATTTTTACAGGATAATATGGTAAGATCTTGTCATATAGGATGTAAAGATGATCTGAATGAAAAAATGGGGGGGGGATACAGGTGATAACTAAAATTTATTTCTGTTACCAGAGAGTAAAAGCTAACTAATGATAGAAAAAATTTTCATGGTTGTCTTCATGTTTGTGTTTAGCTTTAAAGGGTAAGGGTTTACTAATGAGAACTGAGCTACATGAATGTTTCAAGTGTGTGACAAAGGAATATTGTAGCCATACACAGCCAAGAAATTTGTATATTCAGAAAGAAACAAGCAATATCGATCTCCATAATTCTCAAATTTCAGGGTTATTGAAATTGGTCCCTTGTAATTTCTTTTCAGAAAGTGCCTCCCAGAGTGAGCTGCGGGATCTGCTTTCTGAGTTTAATCTCCTGAAGCAAGTAAACCATCCACATGTCATAAAGCTGTATGGGGCCTGCACTCAGGATGGTAAGTAATCCCAATTAAAGCCCAATTGAACCTCACGCTTAAATCGGCTAAATGCATCCCAGGTGCATCAAAACAAAATGTGCTTACAGTTTTATAGTTCATTTTTGTTTTAAAGCAGCCACAGCCTGAGTAGAAACGCCTGTCTTATGCCAAAATGCTGCAACGTAGGACCCTTGCTCTCTCTTTGGAAGCAATGGTTTCTCTACAGAATTTCAAGACACCCCCTACCAAGTCAGAGCTAGAGTTCTCCAATGAACAGGGAGCATTAGCTTTTATGATTTAACAGCTCGAATTTTGACTCAGTAGGAAGCAAAGGGATCACTGCTTCCCCAAAGAGAGCAAATACAGGTGTCTACAGGGGCATGAAGGAAGGATTTGTATGGCTCAATTACTTTTCTAAAATGAGAAATATTCGGCTTATTTTTGTGATTGGTGGTGAAAGAAGGCACTTCGATTTTGTCTGTTATCAGAGGCCTATGCTGTGCTTCACACTGGTTCAGTGAGAGGCTCTTTATTTCCTTTTGGCAAACTTCACCGTAACCTCTCAGGTTATAATTTCTTGTTGCTCCTCACGTACTACTCCATAGAGACCATTGCTTACATTTGTCAGTTTTAGACGTCATGGCTTACTGCAGGTGGAAATGAAAGGAACCTTCTTAATACCATTAAATTACAAATTGGCATGCATAGAAGTTATTTACTATATGAAATATCAATTTTATCAACTAGAATTTATCTTCAACCACTTGCCTACTGGGCACTTATATCCCCTTCCTTACGAGGCTAATTTTCAGCTTACAGCATTGTCGCACTTTGAATGACAATTGCGCAGTCATGCAACATTGTACGCATATGAAATTTTTATCATTTTTTTCTCACAAATAGAGTTTTCTTTTGGTGGTATTTACTTTCCACTGGGCATTTTACTTTTTGCGCTATAAACAAAAAAAAGCAAAGAATTTGAAAAAAAAAAAAGCTTCTTTGTTTCTATTATAAAATTTTGCAAACAGGTAATTTATCTCCTTCACTGATGTGCTTTTTTGAGGCTGCACTGATGGGCACTGATAGGCAGCACTGATGGGCGCTAATAGGCAGCACTGAAGGGCACTGATAGGTGGCACTAATGAGGCAGCACTAATGAGGCAGCATGGATAGGCAGCACTTTTAGGCGGCACTGATAGGCGGCACTGATGATGGGTACTGATAGGCGGCACTGACTGGCGCAACTGCTGGGCATTGACTGGCGGCACAGATTGGCGGCACTGCTGGGCTGCCCTGCTCGGCCCAGGTGCGTGGCACTGCTGGGCAAAGGTGGGCAGAACTGGTGGGTGGCACTGCTGGGCACCGATCATCAGTGCCCTGATGATCGGCGCCGATCCCTGCTCTGACAACTGCTGGTTCTCGGCAGTACTTTCCTCACACTCTGACGTGTCATTGGACACGGCTGATCACGTGGTAAAAGGCCGCTGTGATTGGCCTTTTACCACATTGCGTGATCAGCTGTGTCTGTAGGACACAGTGATCACGGAGATCGCCGTGTGCGCGCCCCTGGGGGCGCGCAGGAGAGCGCATTCTGGGAGGACGTCATATGACGCCCTTCCAGAACTGGCCAGCCACAGTGTAACTGTCATTTGGCTGTCTGCGGTCAGCAACTAGTTAAAAAGTGAATATGTAAGTAAATATACAGTAAATGTAAAGCATGTTGTACAGAAGAAGGTACTGAACCTTATGAATGCAGGGGCCAGAGTACCAATTTCCCCCCCAGTCTGTTGTTCAGGGACCCAGCAAATGTAATAATTAAAAATGCATCCCCAAAAACTGATTATTATTAGACCCTATTTAGGATCACAACCAAGTCTTTTATTTTTTAAATGCATGTGACCTTGGAGTTGGATGTTGCACGGTTGCACTTTAATCAAGAGGATGAGATATATTGATGGGGAGTTATTTGCACATTTTCACCCTGTGCGGATAAGAGTAATCAGTGTGGATAGCGCTGGATACGATTCATGAAGTGTTTTGTACTTACACGTTTTTTGTTGTGTATAATTGGTACACAGGTGTATCACATATTACATTATGTGTGGTATTACTGCACTATATTAGATTTTTTGTTTTGGAGATTGGGAGCAGTGGAGTAGATGATAAAGAAGAAAAGACAGAGAAGATTATATGATATATAACACATGCTTATTGGGAAGAATATATGAAGATCTGTGAAGGATAGTTGTGCGCTGTGCATATTTAAGACTGTTATGCCCAGGGGGGTGTTTGGATTTCATCTGCACACTACTGACTTTGGGCGCTTGTGGCAATTAGGAGTTTATTTGATTAAGCCTCCTGTAACCTCAAGTGCTTATATTTAGCACCATAGGTGCATATTATTATTATTATTATTATTATTATATATAATTATTCATTTAAGTCATATTTTTTGTACGTTTTTTTAAAATCTCTATATATTTCTATCTGTATTCAGGTCCCCTGTACCTTATAGTGGAGTATGCTAAGTATGGTTCTCTGCGTAGTTTCCTGAGGGAAAGCCGCAAAGTTGGTCCTAGTTCTGTGGGTGGTGACTCCAATCGTAACTCCAGCTATTTGGATAACCCAGATGAGAGAGCCCTGACGATGGGAGACCTCATCTCCTTCGCCTGGCAGATATCCAGAGGAATGCAGTATTTAGCAGAGATGAAGGTAATAATGAATGGTACTTTGATTGCACTCAGAAGTGTCCATTGCGGAACAATTGGAACATGCTCTGATCACAGCTGTTTAGAGTTTATTTTTATTGCAAAGTGTAGAAGAAGGGAATTTATTTTCAAAAAGCTGTTCAAACTTGAAGCTTCCAGACGAAAAATGTACATGCTTCTCACACTTTGGAAATGTTGGTTTAATTGGGGAAAAAGATTTGTAATGGAGTTTTCAGTTCACTTATTGCATTACTGTACTATACAAATAAAACTGATCTTCATTAAATTCATATTTGTATTCCATTAATAACTGCATTTTGAAAGTAATCCAATTCCATTTTGTCTCTAGATCAGTTGAATACATTACAAGGACATTACAAACTTTATTGCAAATTCTTACCTAATTCTACTCTGTGGATACAGAGATAGGCCACTATAGTATCTGCTTCAAACCCACATTGCTGAGTGATAGAGTCACTTGAACAGCATCGTTGTCATAATGGAAACGCTGCATTTCCTTTTTCACTGAAGGTGTGTGGCAAAGTTATTGCCATAGATGAAGATTACTGCAGAATCCGGGGATGCTTGAAATTTTACCTCAAGCTCTGTGCAGACATCTAGGGAAAATAGTGAGCCAATCACATATACAGAGATTGAGATTTCTTCAGAAATATGTGGCCAAGAAAATTTAATTTAAAAGAGAAGTATGGGTTTTTTTTTTTACCTTAAACCTATTCTACTGCATGTGAGCTGCTAATATCTGAAAATCTTTCTAGCCCTCTCAGAAGTTCACCCTTTCTGTTAATATTGAGCTAAATACCTGTGGGAGGACCTACAGTCTTTCCTGGATCTTCATGCTGATAATCTGGTCAGGATCCACACTTTTCCTCTCCTCTGCTTGATTGATGTTGGGTCTAGACTGTTCGCTCCCAAGGCTTAAAGCAGAGTTCCAGTCATCTTGTCCCAGGATCCAGCAATGTGCTCACCCTCACCCCCTTCCCCCCCTGGCACCGGCATCTCAACTGTGGGCACCTGACTGTGACAGCTTGCAGTTTCACAGCCGTGTGCCCACTGTGCATGCACGAGTCGCACTGCATCTCTGGAATGGTCAGGCAGACTTCTGGAACCTGTGAAGTGTCCCAGAAGACTGCAAGGGTAAGGAGGGGGGCAGAACTTCTGGCTCAGCTCGCCGTGGCAAACTGAGCCAGAAGTAGAAGCGGAACCTGTCAAAACCAGGTACCCACTCCCCCCCCAAAAAGCACCAAATGTGGCAGTGGAGGGGGGAGGAAGCACACAAGTGAGCTTCCCCTTATGGGTGGAACTCCACTTTAACAGAGCACAGCTGCTCTCCCCCCCCCTACCTCCTCCTGTTGAGGCTGTACCAATTTTCACTACATAGAAGCCAGCAGCAAAAGCAAGAGCTCCACGTAGCACACACCTGTTACCCAATTCTCCTACAGACAGCCTGGAATATGCACTGTGTACATATAGAGATACATAGTTACATAGTTAGTCTGGCTGAAAAAAGACAAAAGTCCATCCAGTTCAACCATTAAAAAAAAAAAGTTATAATCCTTTACCCATAGTTGATCCAGAGGAAGGCAAAAAAACAGCAAAGCATGATTCAATTTGCTCCTGCTGGGATAAAAATTCCTTCCTTATCCCCCGAGAGGCAATTGGGTATACCCTGGATCAACCGCCTAGATCTCTCCACTGTTACAAAGACAAAGCCTCAATCTGCCCACTGTTTATACAGAGATCCTGCATGTGCACAGAGAGCCTCGATCTATAGACTATATAGCTGCCTGCTATGCCAAATCAGAATGTCTGAGAAGAATACCAGCTAGCTCTACAATCTACAGATAGAGGCTCCCTGTAAACACAGTGTGCACATGCAGGATGTGGGACAGAGAGAAGGGCTGGATTGCTGAGGTTGTATCCACCCCCTCTAAACTTTTAAACACTAAATGGACCATTATTGAGAGCTACATGATAGATGAAATACACATGGAAAAACAAAAGGAGGTAAGAAAGAACAGCTAGTATGTGATGATGATAAAACATGATAATTATTTCACCTATCCTATACTTCTTCTCCTTTTAAATTTATTTTCAGTTTTAAAAAATTCTAGTTGACTGCAGATTCAGTAACACAAATTTATAAAATAGCTTGTGATGTTTATTGCAATTTTGATTTATCCATCTGAGTTTTCTTTTAAAGGGACTCATTCCTCCCCCAAAAAAAAATAAAGCATTGCTCCTACACTAGAATACAGTGGAGCTGAATGACTAAAGGAGTAGAGCCTGTTCGATTTGCAAAGTGAATGAAGTGGTGCTGTGTTCACTTTGAAGCCCCAGTCATGTGTAAGGGAAATCTAAGAAAGAAAAACAGGATTTTTGGTTATACATAACTGGATGATTGAAGTCAAGACATCTTCATTTAATTCACCAAGTGCAAATTTCACATGCTTAGTAAGCCTATACTCCTTTAGTACATAAACTCCCAAAAAGCTAACATCTTCTTTGGGTGCACATTTGCTGTTTTTAAAAGCCAAAGCCAATGGCTAAAGCCTGAGATTATGGAGGGTATCGTGTCATTTTACTGTATAGCTCCCAATAATAAACACAACAACAGACAAGGCTAGGTAAGGACAGTTTCTGACTGACAGCCAGGGACATATTAATCAGAGCAGACTGTGCTAATAAACTTGCTCTCTATGATGTCACTACATCACATAGTCCAAGAGGATGCAAAAGTGACAACACTGTCCTGAATTGAACAATGGTCTGACAGAGATGTCACCCCATTAAAAGAAGTGAAACAGCAATTTGGCTGTCAAGATGAATGGGTGCTGATGGGCAACTAAAAGCATTACATATATTTTTATAATCTGACCATAGTAATACTTTCTTGTCTCTTTACAGCTTGTTCATCGAGATCTGGCAGCCAGAAATGTACTGGTGGCTGAAGGTCGCAAAATGAAAATATCAGATTTTGGTCTTTCTAGAGATGTATATGAGGAGGATTCATATGTAAAAAGAAGCAAGGTAAACATAGCTAACATTTGGAGGCCCTGTTTGTTGCACAATCAGAACTTCAATGGAAAATATAAAGGAACAAGTGGCAGAACATAATCTAAGTATAGTAATGCATAATGATTAGACATATTTTATGATCATGATTGCAGTGAGTGTTCAATATTTTATAGTAGTGGGGGAGCTGTGACAGGGGAGAGGCGCTAGATGTAAGAGATATGTCGTAAAGCTTTTGTTAAAACGTTTTAGGATGTATCTCTTATGTCTAAAAATCCTCAAGCGCTTAAGTATCCTTGGCCTCTATGGTTGGAATAAGGCACCTCAACCAAAAACATTAACCATCCAGACCTTTTTTTTTATTTTAGAGGATTTTCCCATTTAGTTGCTAAGGGCCCATTCGCACTAGAATGCGGTGCAGGAAACCTGCATTCCCATGTGGTTTCCTGCACCTCATCCAAATTGATCTGCCCTAGGGATCTGCAGCAGGTGTCAATGCAAAGTTAAAGTGCATTTGCCTGCATTGGATTGCATGGTACAAAAGTACCATGCGATCCACTTGCAGTATGTTTCAAAAAGTACTGTATGCACTACTTTTGTTACGGTGCGATTCCACTGCACAGAACTGCATGTTAATGGCACAGGAACCGCTCAGCATTTCTGTGTGATTCACATGCAGTTCCCTGTGTGAATGGGCCTAAAATAGTACGTTTGAAAGCTGAGGCTGTTCGTCTAAGGATGAACATTCACAGACACAAATCATTGTGTACTTTGTTTTCGGATAAATGGTAGAGTCCTGCAGAACAGGAAAGTGTTGGATGATCTTATTTAAGGGGGGTCGGGGTGAGGGGGTAGGCTTTGACCTAATGAATGTATTGAACAGGAACCCTCTTAAATTAAATCAGTTCTCTTTATTTAATAAAATAGTTTTCTGTAGGAGTTTGTAAGACAGATGTTATATCTTTTTCTTATGCTTTGATTTTAGGGAAGAATACCAGTGAAGTGGATGGCGATAGAGTCCTTGTTTGATCACATTTATACAACACAGAGTGATGTGTAAGCTCTTTTTTTTTCAGCTTGCTCATAAAATGACAAATTTACATGAAATAAGCTAATAATATACACTATGAGGCTAAACGTTTGTGGCCACCTGACAATCACTTTTGTTTGAACCTTTTGGACATTCCATTCTAAAACCATAGGGCAATATTATGGAGGTAGCCTCTCCTTTGTGACTATAACAGCCTTCACTTTTCTAAGAAAGCTTCCCACAAGGTTTTGTAGTATATCTGTAGGTATCTGTGCCCATTCAGCCAAAAGAGCATTTGTGAGGTCAAGTGCTAATATTAGATGAGAAGATCTGTTCAGAATCTGCATTCCTGTTGTTTCCAAAGATGGGGTCGGGGTTAGGCCACTTGAGTTCCTCAACACCAAACTGTGTCTTTATGGAGCTGGCTTTGTGCACAGGGGCATAGTCATGCTAGAACAGAAAAACGCCTGCTCCAAACTGTTGCCACAACTGCCTAAAATGCCTTTTGTATGCTGTTTCATTAACAATACCACCTACCAGAAACACTTGAAGTGAAGGGGTGTCCACATATTTTTGTCCATATAAGTGTGTGTTATGGTCAGGGATCTACAGACCTTTAGCAATATAGTGTAAGATAACTTGCTGCACACAGATTAATCAGTTATATATGTGTAGCACTACCCCCTTAGGAGTCGCTAAAAGATTCTGGTCTTTCTATATTCCTGCACAGCCAGGCATCACACATCTCCATACAGGCTTGCATCCAGAGTCAGAGATCAGTCCATGAGCTTGGTTTTGTTGTTTTACTTAGGGGATTTGAACTGGGATAGGGTTAGGGATGTACAGGATACCCAAGGGAACTGATGAACTGAGGACAACTTCCTGGAACTATTTACAAACATTCTCTGTAGCACAGTCTTTGTTGGAGAGCTAGCCAGCATCTCCTTAATGTACCACCCCAGACCCTAGATGAACTCCTCTCTTCTTCACCCAGCAATCCGGAGGTATCCCTGAACAGGGGATCAAGTACCAGAGTGCTCCTTCCCCTATCCGCCCAGGGGTGCAGGTGGGTTGGTTGCTGCTACCAGGTTTTTCCAGCTGGACTGCTCCTTCCCTGCCATACAGGTGGTCCTTGCTATGGGGGCCAGTGGACGTCTGAGCTTCTCCCTTTCCAGCTCCAGGCCTGCAGGTAGGCCCCATCCCATTGGGCTCCTCTCAGCCTCCTGCCTTCAGCCTCACATCTTCCTCCCTGTCTTTCATCTGAACTCTCCTGTAACTGAGCAGGCTCCAACGCTTTTAAGGGTGTCCTGGCCCCTTTCCAGCCTCCTGTTTGATTGGCCAGGATCCCTCAAGAGTGCAAGACAGCCACTCCTCAGATCCACCCACTGCCTCTAGGGCCTTCCTCCAAAGCTCTGGAGTAGGGGGTAATTCCAGAGGGGCCATCCTGCAGAGCCTCTCATCTCCTGACCAGAATTTTGAACTTCTGGCTATTACACGCAGGCTGCTACTCAGTCTTCCTCACCGCCAATTAGGACTCTAGCTACCCCTAGCTAAACTAGGAGGATGCTATATTGGCATACTGAAGAATGGTTCTGGGATGCTAACCTTTTTTATAAATATTTCCCATATATTGTGGTTGCTGCTATAGTAAACCACTGTGGTCTTTATTTCTAGATTAATACTTGCATTAGCAGTGTTTGTGCTGTTCATAGAACTTAAGGTGAATCTAAATTCCACTAACCACCTAGCATGGTTCTCACTCCACCACTTCTGTAACTGAATTTACAAGAATCAGCTTTTTTACACTTGCCTAACAGTCTCTCTGGTCTTCCTCCAGCTTTAGCTCAAAGATTACATTTAGTTTTTTGCCACAGCATGGGATGGGTTCTGTGTGCAGGCAGTGCTACTGATTGACTACCTCTGACTTAACAGCCAAATTGTACCACGTTCTGCACCCAGATTCCACCCTTCCAAGCAGCAGTTCTATAACCAGAACTAGAAATAGCATCAACCAAGAGCAACTTCCAGATGAGTGTAATAGGGTTAGTTCTTGCAGGTTGAGTTTTAGAAGTGAGAAATAGTTTATTTTATTAGGTTTATGGCCACTTTAAAGCCTAAGTTAGCTCCTGATATTTTTACATATTTACATTGGTCCAGCTTGGACTAATATAAGCATGCATGTTCCTTACCTAGCCAATCTCAGTGCAATCTGGAAATCACTGTAATAGGCACCACTACTACAATATTTGCTGTTGACTTCCAGGTATCGTGACTAGTTCCATTCAGAGAACACTGCACATTTTCTACATGAATACAAATCCTTCTCTGATTGGTTGAGGGGAGTGACATCCAAGCTGGACAAATATAACTATGCAAAAATATCCATACCTTAAATTTCAGATTTAAATCCAGCATTCTCTCTATATATAGATAAATAGGTGCTGGTCTAAAATGGTCAACCCTTTTAAAAAACAACTGTAAAACTTTGTCAGCCATACATCTTATATCTTTACATTTTATTTTTTAACTAGGTGGTCATTTGGTGTTCTACTATGGGAGATTGTTACACTAGGTGGAAATCCATACCCTGGCATTGCTCCAGAGAGGCTTTTCAACCTTCTAAAAACCGGTTACAGAATGGAAAAGCCAGAAAACTGCAGTGATGAAATGTAAGTTTATAGTTCTTTATCTGGGTATTAGATGAAAGTGCCTTGTGAACCAACCAGCTAGCTTGAATAAATCAATCAGTGATAAGGGGAGTGAATACAATAAGTCTCAGATTGTGGTTTTCATCACTACTTGCAGAGAGTTTCTGCTAGCTTGAATTATGACAGCTATTTGATTGTTTTTATATTGAATACAACTGACATATGTTTTCCTGGCCTTCAGGTACAATCTTATGCTAAAATGCTGGAAACAGGAGCCAGACAAAAGGCCAACATTTGGAGAGATTAGTAAAGAGCTGGAAAAGATGATGGTGAAAGTCGGGTAAGTCAGATGAAAAGGCAGCTTGTATGAAATGCACAAATATTACATAAATGGAATCTATACCTTATCTCAATATGGGTTCCCTGTCAGTTGTGGCTGCTGAAATAATGTCTTTTGCCATGCATTTAATGCATTTTCACATTTTTGCAGCTTATAAAGTAGTTACAAATTGTTACAAGTGATGTTTCAAGAACAAAATTCTATAAGCAAATAGAGATAAGTACTTTAAGTATAGTCATTTGCATGAAATAGACTCTCCTATCCGTTGTTTCTGTTGCGAGGACCCACTGGGCGTCAGTGGAAGCTTAGAAACAGCAAGGCTGGTTTATAGAAGATGAGAATTTTCACTGATAAAATTGTATGAATCTTCACTTCATTTATCCAAACATCTGAAAAGCAAATTACTTTCACTACCCAATTGTGCGCAGAAACTTTTCTCATGATTGGATAGTTGAAGTGAAAATTGACATGATTTTAGAATATAAAAATAGAGATTGAGATTCCCTTTTAAAGTAAAGCTTTCCTAATCCAAATGTTACTGAAGGGTGCAATTCAGATACCTGGGGTATGCATTATCTTTTTAGATGCTCTTTCTAGCTCCTTGGGTACTCATTCCGACATGTAATGTGAACATTTTAGCACTGAGCTCTCCAGTCTCTACATTCTTATTGGCCAGCAAAACCACCCATCATAGCCAATAGCCAAGAGCCATTAGGAACATTCTGGAGGGCTATTACGATACTGATAGGTTTACATTGTACATTTTTTGTTTAGAAAAGGGAAGACTTGCTTCACAGTAAAAGTGCTGATAAATATATTTCAAATGTGAAGAAAAAAACTCCATGTTTACCCTATTTTCTAAGTGGACATCAAGGCATTGTTAAATACAGGTTTGAAATGCAAATATGTGAACTGTACTGTGCTGTATGCCTTGGAATGGATATTTAGATAGTTTAGAAGTCTACGTCTCCTGTAATATGTACTGTGGCTTTTTCAATAATTGAGATGTCGCTCCTCCTTTCTAATTAGGTAAACACTCTGACAATTTCCTTGTCTTTGTTATTTTCTAAAAATAAAAAAAAAAGAATTTGAAAAAAAAATTGATTTGTTTCACCAGCCAAAAAAATTTAATTCTGCTTGGCCAACCCTGTGATCCAAGGATCCAAGCACCATTTTTTTGTTTTTTTTTTTTATAGTTTTGGATAGAGTGGTGAAGAGTTAGTACCCATGTTAGGTTCTTGTTGCTGTTTGTGCCTCCATTAGGGATAATTACCCTACATCTCTTCTGGTACCCATTAGACTATTGTCAATGACACAAGTAGTGATGAGAAATTTAAAATTTAAGAGTTATCACCAGAGCAAGAACTGAGGGAAAATCCTCACATTTTAACCCTTGTTTTTATTACTTTCAAAGATAAGCTATTCTTTCACTTTGGAGGAATTTCCTCCCATTTCCTGGTGCATCTTTGTAGGGGAAGTGAAGGTAAATTTCCTTAGCGAGACACAGGCAGCAAAAAATAACTTGATAGAGATTTTGAACCCTCCCCAACTTTATCTAAAGCTAAAACAATTGTTGGCTTTACATACACTTTAATGATATTTAATGATGGAATAAATGGATAAAATTGTATGTATTTTTAACATCTGCCTAGTATTACATTTTAAATATCAGCACTGCCACTGATTTCTTTCCATAGCTTTTTCAGATTTTACATTTTGTGTTTTTGTGATTTCTGTATTATTATCAGGATTACCTGGACCTTGCTGCGTCCACACCTGCAGACTCAATGCTATACGATGACGGCCTTTCTGAAGAAGAGACGCCTCTGGTGGACTGTAATAATGCCCCACTCCCTCGAACTCTTCCCTCAACCTGGATTGAAAACAAACTCTATGGTAGAATTTCCCATGCGTTTACTAGATTCTAGTTACGCTGTTGATCGACTAACAATCTGCTTCCCGACCCCAGGGGCTTTTGTCTGAATGAAACCAATCAAACAAACTCTGCTTGAAAAGCTCTTTAATTTTACTTTAAAGATTTATTTTTTTATTCTTTTGCATATTTAAATGATGAATGTTGCAGAAATACTCGCAGCACTCTTTTGAAGAAGCAAACAAAATACACATTTCTGAATCACAAATACATCTGAACATCATAGCCAAGGAGAACACTTACATAAAACATCATGAAGCTCTATTTATATCTCACATTCTGTGGCATGAACCAGCAGCACTTAATTCACAATATATGTCCATTTTTTTTTTTTTTTTTTTGCGGAAAGCTATTTTGGACAGAATATCTGAAAAGTTCATGGGCCATTTTAGTAAATGTTATGTTGTAGTAGTTTTTTCCTTTTAAAGCGTTCATTACTCAATAGCAACAAGCAATTTAGATCAAGCGTATAGCTAGTAGTTGGTAGGGGTGTACTAGTATATTGAATGGAAACTAGATATCTAGATAAAGTGTAAGTGGTCACATAGTTATTTACACATATATGATCTTCTGTTAGCAGTGATGTGTCATTGTTACACATTTAGGAAAAATCACAGTCAACAGTGATGTGTCATTGTTACACATTTAGGAAAAATCACAGTCAGCTTACATGTTTGTCTCCTGGTATTAAAGGCCAATAGTAGGCTTTAAATAAATCAGCTAAAAAAGTTCAATGAGTGAAAAGATATTTTAACTTTTGTTAGGCAGCTAATTGATCCCCACTGCAACTCTAAGGGGCTTTCCCCAAGTGTTTGGCTGCGGAGAGGACCACTGTCCTTTTTTTGGGGAGCAGCAGCCTCTCTGCAGCATCCCCCCCCCACTTTATCTTAAATTAAACGGGGGCATGTTGGACTGCAGCAGGGAGCCCACTGCAGTCCTTTCTATAGCCCATTGGGCTGAACATTGTCTTTTTAGCTGATTTTTTAAAAACTACCATTAATCTTTAAGCAGTAAGGGAAATTAAAAGAACGAGGTGATTTCTATGGCAGCAGTTCTCTGTTCTTGTTTAGGTGGAACACCAGATATACATGTGCCTTTGTTATAAGCCCCCCTCCCAAAAAAACAGCCCTATGAGAATGCACTTCATATCTGACAATCTGCAGGCCCCTTTGCAAGCTGCAGATTCAATATCTGTGTATGAGGGACTCCCCTAGACTTTCATCATTAGACTGGAATTTTGTTACACTTAATGTGAAGTCCACCTTCAGGCAACATTATCTTCCAGTCTGCATACTTTTTTTCATAGATTATTATATAGCTTTGTATATGATTTATGCATTTTTGTTAAAATAGACAAGTTACTACCATCGTAAACTGTTATTATCTTCAACCTAATTTATTAGAAGGCAGTGCTAGAGAACTCATAGTATGACTACTGTCATTTTTCGAATAGCGTTCTCTGTATTAAATTGTATAAACATAGATCAATGCAACATCAGCATAACTTATATCATTTATCCCTTGTAAATATATAAATTCCCAAGTTTACATAATTAAGTTATTTTTATTTATCCTTAAGATATCTCAGATCTGTGTAGTTTCGGGATAGACATCTAGAATTGTGTGGCCTACTGAAACACACATTGTGACCATTTTATTAGCAATCCAAAATAACCAAACCTGCTCTACAGTGCACATGAAAAAATTGCTATGTCAGGGTAGCTGCTAGTCTGGGGGTAACATTTGTGGAATACGATGTTTGTGGGATGCGCAGGTTTTACACAATAATTTGTTATCTCCAGCGATCATCTGGAACATATGAATTTAGATTGTAGGATCATTTCACTTTTAACCCAGCAAATGGTGCTTTACCTTGCATGATATCACAAAGTAGAACTATGTTAGTCTAATGAAACTTTAATTTGCAAGACCAGTGAAGAGTTAGTAGGAGATATTTGACTTAAACAGACCAGTCTGAATACCGCAAACGACAATTGTTATTTGCCTTATGCTTTGTGACAAATATTTTCTTTCATGTTGTCTTGCGATGTCTCTGGTATAAATGTCTTGTTGTGTTGTTGACCTGAGACAGTAAGCATAGTTCTTGCCAAAACTCCTTATTTTTGTCTTTCAATTTCTAATTTTTACAATCAAAGAATCAGACTTGGGATTTTCCATTATTCTATGTTTCAAAATGTCTACAAATTAAGGGGCTTGATGTAACCAATGCATGCAAGCAAATTATTAATACTATGTCCAGGAATGCACAAAGTGCATTGGAACCAATAATAATATGACATAATCTCAATAATTATTTATGTGGTGGACTTCCTATTAGCATGTTTCCCGATTCACAGCCACTTCTTGATTGCACAGACGTTAGCCATTGATGTTGTCATGGAATCAACAACAGGAGTTCTATGAATCCAGCCAAATATATTAGGACGATTGTATTCATTTTAGGAAATATATACAAGGGCTGTACTGAAAGTAATGCAAAAGTGTGTATAACTCTTTTTATTAACTTACATAAGTCATTCAAATTTTGTTGCTCTACCAACATGTTATCACATGTAGGTAGAGTGACTTCCTCTATAGTAACTCTTCAATTTTTTCATTGCAGATAAATAATATATTCCAAGCAGAAGCAACACACCATCAATGAGTTCTTGATGAAGGAAGGATGCAGGCTATCCAACATCCACAGAAGGCTACAAAATGTTTACAGAGGTGACATCATGGACAAGTGCCACCAATGACAAAGCATTACTCTTGTCAATGGTGTCATCTCTGTGAACATTCTGTAGCCTTCTGTGGATATTGGACAGCTTGTACCCATACTTCAGCAAGAACTCACTGACGGCAGGTTGCTTCTGCTTGCAGTCCTTTATTTACCTGCAATGAAAAACAAGAAGAAAAAGAGTTACTGTAGAGGAAGAATTACTCTACCAACATGTGAAATCTGAACAACCTATATAGGTTAATAACAAATGTATGTCTACTTTTGCATTACCTTTGGTACATTCCTTGTAGATATACTGGTAATTTAAGTAAAGGGTTCACAAATTTGTTGTCAAGGACAGTAAAGAGTGCATTTTTCCACATCAGAAACACAAAAACAGCTGTGTTATGCCCTGATAGTCTATAAAATGGAGCAGTTAGAGTTTCCAGGGGAGTAGAGATATGACTATGCGAATTCCTAATAAATCAAGTCCTTTGTGCACTGACAGCTCAACTTATATTTGGTAAATTGCTTGTATGGCCAGATGTGATTAGTAAGGGTCAGATCGGCTGTTTTATAACTAGTTTTAAAGGGAACCTATCAGGAAAGTATTATGGGCAGCTGTAGCTGACTTTCTTTTAAGGCTCCATGCATGCTGGGCTTAAAAAAAAATGCCAGTTCCCTTGGCAGAAAAAAACGTTCATATAGAGCATTTTTGTACACATGTTTAAGTATGTTTAGGAGTGTTTAGCATTTTTTTCTGCCAGAAAGCGCCAATCAAAAATGCAATCCAGAAGGGTTTTTTTTCTGCCTCTAAATGTTGAGTTTATAATATGCCTCTAAATGTCCTAATGTGCATGGATACATAGGATAACATTAAGATGCTTCTACATGCAAAACACAAAACTCCTGTAGAAGTAGGGTTCTTTAACCACTTCCCGACCAGCCGTTGCATATAAACGGCCGGACGGTGGCAGTACAGGGTCGGGTGGCCGTTTATGAACGGCCTCCCCGCACCCTGCTTGTGCGCGCTCCCTGGGAGCGCGCAGCACCGCGATCCGGTGCCCGCTGTGTCCAGTGATCACATGCAAAGTAGTAAGCAAGATGTTACTTGTGACATCATTGCTTACTACGTGTGAAATCTGTGAATGATCACAGAGGTCACATGGTACAAAGATATTCACAACAGCCTTGTACCATGTGACAAGCTGTGACCAATCACAGCTCACTCTGTATTTCTCAATGAGTGCAGGAATGCACACAGAGAGAAAGAGAAATGATTGCTTTTACATCCTATATGGGTGTAAAAGCAATCATTGTAAAAAAAAAAAAAAAAAAAAATCTTCATCACCCTCCACAAGTAGTACAGTGTCACCATGGTGACACTGTACTGCTAGGGTGACAGTATGTAAAAAAAAAATAAAAAAAAAATAATAATATAAAAAAAAAAATAAAAATGTAAAAAAAAAGTTTAAAAATTATAATTTTTGGTTATAAACTAATTTGTTTTTGGGTTTTTTTTACTAAAAAGATAACGAAATACATTTTGGCAAAGATTTATGATGAAATATTATTTATTTGCAAAAAATTTTATAAAAAAAAACACTTTTGTTCAAAATTTTTGGACTTTTTTATTTACATAGCAAAAAAAATAAAAATCCCAGCAGTGAATAAATACCACCAAAATAAAGCTTTATCTGTCGCAAAAAAATGGTAAAAAAATAATTTGGGTACAGTGTTGCATGACTGCGCAATTGTCATTCAAAGTGTGATAGCGCTGAAAGCTGAAAATTGCCGTGGTCAGGAAGGGGGTAAAAGTGCCTGGTCTGGAAGTGGTTAAGCTAGTGTGCATAGACCTTAATGCTGGCTATAGATAGATTTTCTCCACAGTCAGTGTTGGTGGGGAAATCCCTCTTGCAAAACCATTGCGTTCTCCCAGTGGTGGTGGGGGACTATGATTGTAAAGTTCGACGGGCTAGTTCTACCCAAGTTAATCAATGGATCAACTTGAGTACATTCACTCCGCTCATGCATGGTTCAGATCTCGGCCAATCCCTACTGAACTGGCTGAGATTCAAACTGTCTATGGCCAACTTATAGCTGCAAGCTCCAGGGCTGTTATTTTTAACTGTGTTTATTACATAGTGGATCAAAGACCTAGAAGAAACATGGGAGCCTTGCACTGTCTGACCTCCATAGCTCTTTGGACTCTGAATAGTG